CTGCTGCCTGCAAGAAACGCATCTCAATAGTCAAAGCAAACACAGACTCAGAGTCAAAGGCTGGAAAACAATCCTACAGGCAAACAGCTCCCATAAAAAAGCTGGGGTAGCCATCCTTATATCAGACCACATTGATTTCAGAGTGAGGAAGGTCATAAGAGACAGTGAAGGCCATTACTTATTGATCAGAGGATCTGTACAACAGGAAGAACTTACAATAATAAATGTATATGCACCTAATGAGAGACCAGCAAAGTACTTAAAACAACTACTCATAGATTTGGAAAAAGACATCAATAGCAACACAATACTAGTGGGAGACTTCAACACTGCTTTGTCACCTCTTGATAGATCAACCAGACTCAAGCTTAGCAAGGACATACTTCATTTGAGGGAAACAATGGAAGAAAGGGACTTAGTAGATATATACAGGACACTTCATCCACAAAAAGCTGAATACACATTCTTCTCAAGCGTACATGGAACATTCTCCAAGATAGACCACATGCTGAGCCACAAAACATGCCTCCATAAAATTAAGAAGGTAGAGATTGTATCAACAATCTTCTCAGACCATAATGCGCTGAAATTAGAAGTAAATCACACACAAAAACAGAAAACTAAATCAAACACCTGGAAATTAAACAGTGCACTATTGAACAACGAGTGGATTAGACAGGAAATCAAAGAGGAAATCAAAAGATTCCTAGAAACGAATGAAAATGAGAACACGAGTTACCAAAACTTATGGGACACAGCAAAGGCTGTGTTAAGAGGAAAGTTTATAGCTCTACAAGCATTCCTCAGGAAGGAGGAGCGAGCACACATAAGTAACCTAACCTCACAGCTTAAGAGCTTGGAGAAGGACCAAAAAAAGGAGCACAACCCGAACAGGAGAAAGGAAATAATAAAACTCAGAGCAGAGATTAATGAGATGGAAACCCAAAAAACAATCCGAAAGATCAATGAAACCAAGAGCTGGTTCTTTGAGAAAATTAACAAGATCGATAAGCCTCTAGCAAAACTCACAAAGAAAGGGAGAGAGAAAACCCTAATAAACCGAATCAGAAATGAAAAGGGGGTCATTACAACAGAAACCACAGAAATTCAGAGGATCCTCAGGGAGTACTTTGAGAAGCTTTATGCCACGGAACATCAAAACCTCGAGGAAATGGATAAATTCCTAGACTCCTACAGACTCCCAAGGCTGAACCAAGAAGACCTGGAATACCTGAACAGACCTATCACCATCAAGGAAATTGAAATGGTAATAAAAAGTCTCCCCAAGCACAAAAGTCCTGGCCCGGATGGATTCACTAGTGAATTCTTCCAAATCTTTAAAGAGGACTTACTCCCAATACTCTTTAAGCTTTTCCACGAAATTGAAATATCAAAAACACTTCCAAACAGTTTCTACGAAGCAAATATCACACTGATACCAAAAGCAGACAGAGATACCACAAAGAAAGAGAATTACAGGCCGATATCCCTGATGAACACAGATGCAAAGATCCTCAACAAACTACTAGCAAATAGAATCCAACTACTCATCAAAAAGATCATACACCATGACCAAGTAGGATTCATCCCAGGGATGCAAGGATGGTTCAACATTCGGAAATCAATCAACATAATCCACCATATCAACAAAAGAAAAGATAAAAAGCATATGATCATATCAATAGATGCAGAGAAAGCATTTGATAAGATCCAGCACCCCTTTATGATGAAAACCCTAGCCAAAATGGGTATAGAGGGGACCTTCCTCAACATAATTAAAGCCATCTACCACAAGCCTACAGCAAGCATCATCCTCAATGGGGAAAAACTGAGAGCCTTCCCTCTAAGATCAGGGACGAGACAGGGATGCCCACTCTCTCCACTGCTGTTCAATATAGTACTGGAAGTACTTGCAATAGCGATTAGGCAGGAAAAAGATATTAAGGGCATTCAGGTAGGAAAGGAAGAAATCAAGCTCTCACTATTCGCAGATGATATGATACTCTACTTAGAGAACCCAATAACTTCCACCAAAAAACTCTTAGAAACAATAGACTCGTATAGTAAAGTTGCAGGTTATAAAATCAATACCCAAAAGTCCATGGCTTTCCTATACGCAAACAGTGAGAGAGAAGAAAGCAACATGAAAAAAACAATCCCATTCACAATTGTGCCCCAGAAAATCAAGTACCTAGGAATCAGCTTAACTAAGGAAGTAAAGGACCTGTACAAAGAAAACTACAAAACGCTACTTCAGGAAATAAAAGAGGACATGAGGAAATGGAAAGATATCCCCTGCTCATGGGTCGGGAGACTTAACATTGTCAAAATGGCAATACTACCGAAAGCATTGTATAAATTCAATGCAATCCCTATAAGGATACCCATGACATTCTTCAAAGAAATGGAGCAAACACTCTTGAAATTTATATGGAACAATAAGCCCCCACGAATAGCTAAAGCAATTCTTGGGAAAAAGAAAATGGGAGGAATCAACCTCCCGAACTTCAAACTGTACTACAAAGCAGTAATAATTAAAACAGCATGGTACTGGAACAAAGGCAGAACTGCAGACCAATGGAACAGGGTTGAATACACTGACATTTCTCCTCAATCATATGCTCATCTAATCTTTGATAAAGGTGCAAGTAATGTGAAGTGGAGTAAGGAAAGCCTCTTTAATAAATTGTGTTGGCATCACTGGACGGCTACATGCAAAAAAATAGGCTCAGAACTCTGCCTAACACCATGTACAAAAGTAAGATCAAAATGGATTAAAGACCTCAACATCAGACCAGAAACCATAAGGTACATTGAAGATAAAGTTGGCAAAACCCTCCATGACATTGAAGCTAATGGTATCTTCAAAGATGCCACGCCACTGGCCGAGCAAGTGAAAACAGAGATAGATAAATGGGACTATCTTAAACTAAGAAGCTTCTGCACCTCCAAAGAAACAGTGACCAAAATACAAAGACAGTCTACAGAATGGGAAAGGATATTCGCCGAATACACATCTGACAAGGGGTTGATATCCAGGATATACAAAATACTGGTTAAACTCCACAAGAAGAAAACATCCAACCCCATCCAAAAATGGGGCAATGAAATGAACAGAAACTTTCTCAAAGAAGAAATCCGAATGGCAAAAAAGCACATGAGAAAATGCTCTACATCATTAATCATCAGGGAGATGCAGATCAAAACCACAATGAGATACCATCTCACACCTCAGAGACTGGCCCACATTCAAAAGAACAAAAGCAACCGATGCTGGCGTGGATGTGGCGAGAAAGGGACACTCCTTCACTGTTGGTGGGAATGTCCACTGGTTCAGCCCTTCTGGAAAACAGTATGGACGATTCTCAAAAAATTAGAAATTGAGCTCCCATTTGACCCAGCAATACCACTCCTGGGAATATATCCCAGAGAGGCAAAAATGTATAGTCGAAGTGACATCTGCACTTGTTTGTTCATTGCAGCCCTCTTTACAATAGCCAGAAACTGGAAGAAACCTGAATGCCCAAGAACAGATGACTGGTTAAAGAAACTTTGGTACATCTACACAATGGAGTACTATGTAGCTCTTAGAAAAGATGAAGTCATGAAATTTACATACAAGTGGTACAATATGGAAAGTATCATGCTAAGCGAAATGAGTCAGAAAGAGAGGGATAGACATAGAAAGATTGCATTCATCTGGGGGATATAAAGTAACAAAGTATGAGATTAATACCCAAGAATAGCTGAGATCAGCACCAGGAGGATTACTCCATAACTTAGAGGCCAGCCGGGTATCCTAGAGAAAAGGGCTATTCAGATAGAGAAGGGAGCACCAAATAAAGGATGTTTGGAGGATCCTCCCAGGAGGGGAGATGCATGTCGAAAGTAGACTATGGACTGAACATGTTTGCCACTCAATGCCTCTTTTGCAGACCACAACACCCAAAAGGAGAGAGAGAACACAGGGGATTGCCCTGCCACAGAGACGGGGGGATGGGGGGATGGGGGTGGGAGGGATATTATCCATGGTGGTGGAAAATGGGCACTGGTGGAGGGATGGGTATCTGATCATTGTATAATTGAAACCAAAGCACAAAAAATTGTAAATCTACAACTTTAAAAAAAAATAAAATAAAATAAAGGGGAAAAAAATAAAAAAAAAATAAAAAAAAAAAATGTAAACAAATTAGTGGATATTCTTATCTGCATGAACATATTTTGCAATAAAATGTGAGTATGATATTATTGTTCTGTAATAAGTATTTGTAACTAGAAAATAGAAGTATTAATGGACACTATCTCCCTAAGTAAATATTTATGTATTTTTATACCAACACAAACAATACTTTGTGTTGATTTTAGATCAACAGAGAAGACTATTAATACAACTATGATATTAACCTCACACATAGTAAACAGTGATGACTTACTATGCAAGCCACTGAGTTTTTTGTAAAACCCAGTCTTAGAGATAAAATAAAAAGATCATCTTCCAAATTTAAAGCAAAAATATGTTTCACATCACCATTATAGCCTAAATGAATTTTAAAAAATCAGCTTAAAATATCCTTTAAAATTTATCTAGGGAACTGGAGAGTTAGTACAGCAAATAAGGCACTTGCCTTGCACGCGGCTGACCCGTGTTTGATACTTGGCATCCCATCTGGCTCACCAAACACCGCCAGGAGTAATTCCTGAGTGCAAAGCTCAAGGAGTAACATTGAACATCCCTAGATGTGCCCCCAGCCAAAACAATTCATCTCACATGATAGTTATCCATCACTTTTATATAAGAAAAGCCTTAATTTTACAAGACCAAAATTATAGTCACTTCTTTTTTTTAAAAAAAAAAAAACCTCTTTCCAGTTCACCACATTTACAACAAAGCAGAAAGTTTCCTTCCCTTTTCTTTCCCAGTCATGCAATGTCTTATTCTCAGTGTAAATGTTCATGCATCAATAACCATTGGCAAATACAGAGATAAATAAACTACTCACTGTTAACTCTTGAAGGTTTTTTTCCAGATCAGTGGATGATTTTGTTTGCACAGCATTCTCAGCCTTTGTTAACCAACAGATGACCTCACTTAGTCTTCTTCTGTATTCCATCACCTGTTTACTCTCACCTTTTAACCTAGAGGAGTACATTATTGAAAATTACTGAGAAGGAATATTCAGCTAGGTATACTGTACACTTGTTTTTAATATCCTGACTAAATTCATCAAAAATAAATGATTCTTATTAATTTTATTACTTTCAAAGTGGATTAGTAGTATTTTATGCATTCTAAAATATCAAAAATTACTTGAATCCTTGCCTCATTAGATTCAAAATATTGCTACTAAAGAATGTGACCTTCTTTCATAATGAGAACTTATATAGAAATGCGTATATTGCTTCAAGCTCTTCACCACAGTCCAGTATAATGGACTTAAAACTAAACCATGGAAATGTCTTTATCTAAAATAAAAAGGAAAAAGGCATCATTCTCTCTGAGCACTCCATGGAGACAGAAAGCCATCATTATGTGACATATTATTCACAGTAGATGGCAGCTATTACTTTCCTTATTCATAGAAAAGAGTATGAACAAGGCAAGATACTGAGGATTGGACATTATTATAAGTATCAGGAAAAACAAGAGAAAAATATGAATTTGGTTAGCTCATTAATAGTGTTAAATTTGAAAGAGCTCTGAGTTATGAAAAGAGATCTGGAGAAAGATAAAAGTCTATATAATTTTAAGAAAACAAATATTCATCTGAATACAAAATAATTGTCATAATTATATTTATAATATTATAAGAACAATATAAACCATATGTCAGAAGTGTATAGTTACATCTTATATAAGAAACCAGATCATGTTTTGTTTTGGTTTTTAGGTTGTAGGCCACACCCTGCAATGTTCAGGGGTTACTCCTGGATCTGTCCATAGGAACTACAACTTGTGAGCTAAGGGATCAAATGATTCCAGAGATAATATCCAGTTGGCCGTGGTCAAAGCAAGTGCCCTACTAACTAAATAAATATCTCTTCATCTGGAGATCATGTATTTTTAAAAATGGGGTTTGGAAGTTATTTAGAGCTTGGTGATGATATCATTATTTTTAGAGATGCAGCTATTATTTGCTGATTTAAAAACAGAATGCATTTTTCAATACCCAAAAGTCCATGGCTTTCCTATATGCAAACAGTGAGAGAGAAGAAAGCAACATGAAAAAAAACAATCCTGTTCACAATTGTGCCCCAGAAAATCAAGTACTTAGGAATCAGCTTAACTAAGGAAGTAAAGGACCTGTACAAAGAAAACTACAAAACGCTACTTCAGGAAATAAAAGAGGACATGAGGAAATGGAAAGATATCCCCTGCTCATGGGTCGGGAGACTTAACATTGTCAAAATGGCAATACTACTGAAAGCATTGTATAAATTCAATGCAATCCCTGCAAGGATACCCATGACATTCTTCAAAGAAATGGAGCAAACACTCCTGAAATTTATATGGAACAATAAGCCCCCACGAATAGCTAAAGCAATTCTTGGGAAAAAGAAAATGGGAGGAATCAACCTCCCGAACTTCAAACTGTACTACAAAGCAGTAATAATTAAAACAGCATGGTACTGGAACAAAGGCAGAACTGCAGACCAATGGAACAGGGTTGAATACACTGACATCTCCCCTCAATCATATGATCATCTAATTTTTGATAAAGGTGCAAGTAATGTGAAGTGGAGTAAGGAAAGCCTCTTTAACAAATTATGCTGGCATCACTGGATGGCTACATGCAAAAAAATGGGCTCAGAACTCTGCCTAACACCATGTACAAAAGTAAGATCAAAATGGATTAAAGACCTCAACATCAGACCAGAAATCATAAGATACATTGAAGACAAAGCTGGCAAAACCCTCCATGACATTGAAGCTAATGGTATCTTCAAAGATGCCACGCCACTGTCTGAGCAAGTGAAAACAGAGATAGATAAATGGAACTATCTTAAACTAAGAAGCTTCTGCACCTCCAAAGAAACAGTGACCAAAATACAAAGACAGTCTACAGAATGGGAAAGGATATTCGCCGAATACACATCTGGCAAGGGGTTGATATCCAGGATATACAAAATACTGGTTAAACTCCACAAGAAGAAAACATCCAACCCCATCCAAAAATGGGGCAATGAAATGAACAGAAACTTTCTCAAAGAAGAAATCCGAATGGCAAAAAAACACGTGAGAAAATGCTCTACATCATTAATCATCAGGGAGATGCAGATCAAAACCACAATGAGATACCATCTCACACCTCAGAGACTGGCCCACATTCAAAAGAACAAAAGCAACCGATGCTGGCGTGGATGTGGCAAGAAAGGGACACTCCTTCACTGTTGGTGGGAATGTCCACTGGTTCAGCCCTTCAGGAAAACAGTATGGACGATTCTCAAAAAATTAGAAATTGAGCTCCCATTTGACCCAGCAATACCACTCCTGGGAATATATCCCAGAGAGGCAAAAATGTATAGTCAAAGTGACATCTGCACTTGTTTGTTCATTGCAGCACTCTTTACAATAGCCAGAAACTGGAAGAAACCTGAATGCCCAAGAACAGATGACTGGTTAAAGAAACTTTGGTACATCTACACAATGGAGTACTATGTAGCTGTTAGAAAAGATGAAGTCATGAAATTTACATACAAGTGGTACAACATGGAAAGTATTATGCTAAGCGAAATGAGTCAGAAAGAGAGGGATAGACATAGAAAGATTGCATTCATCTGGGGGATATAAAGTAACAAAATATGAGATTAATACCCAAGAATAGCTGAGATCAGCACCAGGAGGATTACTCCATAGCTTAGTGGCCAGTCGGGCATTCTAGAGGAAAGGGCAGCTCAGATAGAGAAGGGAACACCAAATAAAGGGTGTTTGGAGGATCCTCCCAGGAGGGGAGATGCATGTCGAAAGTGGACTATGGACTGAACATGTTTGCCACTCAATGCCTCTTTTGCAGACCACAACACCCAAAAGGAGAGAGAGAACACAGGGGATTGCCCTGCCACAGAGGCAGGGGGGGATGGGGGATGGGGGTGGGGGGGATATTATCCATGATGGTGGAAAATGGGCAGTGGTGGAGGGATGGGTATCTGATCATTGTATAATCAAACCCAAGCACAAAAAATTGTAAATCTACAACTGTACCTCATGGTGTTTCACTAATAAAAAAAAAATTTAAAAAAAAAACCAGAATGCATTTTTTAAAATTTTATTGCAATACCTAATAGTAATTTCTATCTATGTTTGTGACTGTATTTTTATCACAAAGAAACTCAACCTGATGCCATATGTGTATGGGTGTATGCATGTGCAATGCTAAATGATTTAATATTTGAAAAATGTTAAAGTTAAAAAATAACATAAAATCATGTTTTTACTATTAACCATCTAATAAGAAAGATTGCTGCTTCAAGGTGAAACAGTAAATCAAGACAACAATAGTACTGATAGCTTAAACTACATTTGACTTAAATAACAACTTTGGAATCACCTTTTTTACTCTGAAATTATTTGTTATCCAAAAGGCAACTTGCAATTCAAATTTTTCAAGGTTTCTTAATCGTGACTAATTTGATATTTTGAAAATACATCTAAAGTGAAAAATCACATTATCAACAATTTCCAACAAGACATATTTGAGTCACAAAATTTTCATTTCAAAATGCTAAATATAATCTACATTTTAAATGTTATTTCTAAGAGTAAAACATAGCTATGAATTTATATTTAAACAGTAGCTAACAATTGCTCATTATAGAATGACACTATGTGTTGCTGAACTGTATGAATATTTAACTAACGGTATTCAATACAAGACACTGGATCTGTGTGCTAGTGCTCAATCACTTTGATAACAGTACATATCCAAACACTTAAGTTTACAAGGTTACCCAATTTAAGAGAATTCACAATCTGAAGTAAACTTAAACAGAAATTCATGAAAAAAAATTTACATTACCAAGATATAGGAAGAGAAATTCAGATTTCTTTTCTCATTCAAAAAATGGAATAAAATATGGATTGCTTCACTAAGTTTATTCTAGGAAGGAGCATCACCATATCCCATGGAGATCCATTTGCAAATATTTAGAGAAATTCTGAATTTATTGTTAATACCATGCCAGTAGATACATCATTTTTCATCAGAAGATTGAGGAGTGTATTTATTTTCATGCTGAATAACTTTTTTAAATTAGTTTTTGGATCAAAACCAGCAACTTTCAGCACTAACTCCTGGCTCTGTGCTCAGGAGTCACTCCTGGAGGGTTCAGGGGATCAGATGGGATGCCAGGAATTGAACCCAGGTCAGCCATGTGCAAGGTAAGTGCCCTACTCACTGTATTAGAACTATTGCTCTGGCCAACCACCATAACATATACCTAAGATCCAGGGGGCCTCATATCCCAAGGTTGACCCTGGGCCTCCCAACCTTCTTCTCCATCTAACTTTTACAAACCTTTCACCTGGCTGAACCATTCCATGCCGTTCACCAAGCCTGTTGTTCTGCCTCTTTTGCCTGAAAGGACCTAACGAGAATGATCTCAAGGGAAATTGCTATAATTTTCAAAATTTAGTTTCAGGATCCCTCCCACCTATAGTCCATCTGGCTTCTGAAACTACCATACATACAGCAAAAATATAAAGTGTCTACTTTAACCAAAGTATATTGTTTTTTCCCCAAACACATTTATTCTAGTCTCAGAGATTCTTAGTATAGCTATATCCTCACTGCTAATAACAAAACCCCATAAGTACCAAACCAATCAAATTTTTGAGTGACAAAAATTTTTAAATGGAAAACTTTGGCAAGAACATGTATGGGGAATAAATTCTTGATTAACTAAAAGAACTAGATATTCTGAGGGTTTACTGATGGACAGGGCATGTGTATTTCACAAACATTCTCAAATCCTCACGCCATGCCCTTGAGAATACATCCCAGTTCTTTCTATGGGGGAGGAAGGAGAGATGGACAACTGGCCAGGAGCATCATGGTCTTCCTCAGTTTACCCAGCACAGCACCTGGGAGACTGAGAAAGAAGTACCTCTAACCAATAAGCACAAAGAGTGACTTAACTTCCCTTCTTTGGGTCTCAGTGACAAAGGTCGAAATCAGTATAGGATACCTCTGGGAAGGTCATCCTAAAAAGTATTAAATGACCAAAGTGTACAGGATGTCATACATGGTCTCTGTCATATGATATCTCAATCAAAACACCCAAACTTTTATTTCTCTCTTGCCAGAACAGACAATATCAGATGATATTGTTCTATTAAAAGAAAATCATAAGTTGGGGCTGGAGCAGTAGCACAGCGGGTAGAGTGTTTGCCTTGCACACAGCCAACCCAGGTTCGATTCCCAGCATCCCATATCCCGAGCACCGCTAGGAGTAATTCCTGAGTGAAGAGCCAGGAGTAACCTTTGTGCATCACCAAGTGTGACCCAAAAAGCAAAAAAAAAAAATTCATAGGTCAAATAGACATATTTAAATGCTGAATGTTATAATACTAAACTTGACAAAAGCATCAGATTGGCTTTTAACAAAACAAAATATCATCTACAGAGTTGAAATCAGTGGAAAAAAATAAACAGGACTTCTTAACCCAAAGCTAATATTAACCTCTGCTAAAAAGATTATTACTGAGGCAGATGTTTTAAGCAAATTAGAATCCATTAATCATGCACAAAATCTTAATTGTCGCAAAAATTAACTTCAAATCATTTTAAGGGCCAGAGATATAGTACAGGGGTTAAGATGTTTGCCTTGCATGCAACCAACCCCAATTTGATCCCTAGTACCACATCTGGTCCCCTAAGCCCCACGAGGAGAGATCCCTGAGTATAGAACCTGAGCACACCAGATGTGTTGCAAACCCCCCTAAAAAGAATGTTAACACCTAGTACCACACATGGTCCTCTGAACACCACTACTAGTGATGCCTGAGCAAGGAGACAGAAAAAAGCCCTGAGCACTGCCAGTTATAGCCCAGAAATAAAAACAACAAATGAGCAAAAAAAAAAAAAAACAACCACAAATCATTTACAAATGACATCATAGAGGCCAGAGAGATAGTACAGGGTTAAGGTCCTTGCATGCTGCTCACCACTGCTCAGCATCAGGCTCCAGCACTGCAGTCAGTCCCTAAAGCACAGCCAGGATTTACCTCAAGGCAGAATCAGGACTGAGCCCTGAGCCTCACTAGGTGTGGCCCAAAGCGTCTCTTCCCCCCAGCAAAATGACATCACATTATAAAACTACATCACACTATACAAAGTAATCTGTGTAACACTGACCATTCTATTCATTGGTAATCAAGTATCCCCACCCAGAGATGCCCTAATAATATCTGGGGGCACTGTAAGATAATCTGGCACAAAAACCAACAATGCAACATTCTATTTTTTACATTGCTTAGATGAAAAAAATGTTCCTACTTGCAAGGCACCAATATACACTGATATACATCTATATTATATACGAGAGAGAAAGAGAGTGAGAGCGAGAGCGAGAGAGAGAGAGAGAGAGAGAGAGAGAGAATATACCCTTTGACTATTTGACAGTAAGGATGAGGGTCAATTCTTTCAAGTTCCTGCCACTGCCACATGATTAGCATGATGATCATATCATAACAGATAGAAGTAAGAGGAATCTGGGGCTGGGTCAAAGGACTGAGTATCTGCTTTGATGAAGCCTGGATTAGATGCTAGGCAGGGCAGAGCTGCCTGAGGATGACTGGGCAGACCCCAGCTCTGAGCTGTGAGTAGCTTTTGAGCACCAATGGATATAACCCAAGAGGAAAAAAAAAGAGGAATAAAGGCCTTTTTCACATGTGTGATCAATATTTGAGCAGGAAAAAAAAGTGAAGGGCCAGTTCTCTGAAAATAGAGCTGGGGGACAGTTATAGTACAGTGGGGAGGTCAAATGCTTTGCGCAGGGCTGACCTGGATTCAATTCCCAGTACATACATGGTCCACTGAGCATCCCTAGGAGTGATCCCTGAGCTTAGAGCCAGGAATAAGCCTTGAGCATAGGCAAGGGTGACCCTTCAAACCATCCAAAGTAAATTAAAAAATAAAAATACGAAGCAGAGTTCTTAAACGTGAGTAAAACCCCAATTGTAAAATCACATGATAAAAGAACTTTGCTTTCATCCAACTGCATATTAAAAGTCCCTGCCTAAAACGTCTTTCCCCACACCCTCACATTATACCGACTAAATCACCTGGGCCTCCGATCCTTCACGTCTGCAACGACGGCCGTCCAGCGCAGGTTTAAACCTGCCAGCTTGTCCTTCAAGAAGCTTCCATCTGTGGGGGAGAGCTTCTGTACAATACTGTCTCCCGTTCTGTTCAGTGCTGCAAAACTGGGCTGGTGGCTGCTGATTCCCTCTTCCAGCTCCTGTTAAGAGATTAATTCCACCCCTAAATTAAACTGTTCAGATGCAGCCAACCCACCCAGGAACCACAGCGTCAGTCTGAAATGTCAGAAAATCAAAGCCCTGCAAGGATATTCCATGTTTGCACAAAAGGCATTTTGAGACACCTCGATGGTATTTCTATGAACTCACGAAACGGAATCTATTTTGAAGTCTAACCCCCTTTCATCAATGTCATCAAACAAAACACAGTTAAAGAGGACAGACTAATAATGAAAAATAAATAACTTCTATTTACATTGAAGCATGAGTATCCATCACATTTGATTTAGGTGCACTGTTAAGTTCAGCTTCTTTCAAACATATGCCTGAAAGGGTCTCTCTTAAGGAAACTATTGACTCTGTACACCCTACACCCTATTAAATTATTAGTAAACCTCAATGTACATTTTACTGAGTTAATGTTTCTCTGCTCTGCACAATTTTAACCAACTGATTAAAACAGCATATCAGTAAGTAAAACTGAAGCACCAACTATAACACTAGAAATAATAAAAGGCATTAACAACATAATAAAAGCATAAATTGTTTATATAAAATATATTTTGAAAATTTAATAAGTGGTAAGTAGAAATTTTAGTTGCTTCTGATAATGATTTTAAAGACCTATCATTATGAGAACTGATTTAGATACTGTGAGAGATTTCTAAGACCAAATTAGACTTACATGAGCAGCTGCCCTGACGTAACTCAAGAATAATTTTCGTTTATGATAATTATCAATGCTACAAAGAAAATCAAATGTCTCAGAGTGTTACGGTACAGAAATCAGAAGGGAGGCATGTATGTATATATATATATATATATATATAATTCTGTCCTTATGAAATTTTTTAAATAAGTATGCTTATCACAATGTTCATTGACAGGTATTTTTTGTTTACTATTTTTGAAAACCCTGATGTTAAATTCTAAATAATATTTTTTTCTTAAATCTTTGAAAACTAAAACCTCAGCTTGGATCAGAAATTTACAGATTGTCTACATTCCTGAAAAAAATGTGTATATTGGGACCCTCTATCTGAAGTGTCCTTGCAATACCCCCTTTTCTTTTTTTTTCCTTTTCTTTTTTATTATTGGTGAAACACCATGAGGTACAGTTGTAGATCCCCTTTTCAGCAGATGCTTCCTGCTTTGCCACAGCGCTCACCTGCTGATGTCTCCTGGCCTTCTCTAAGTCGAGGCCCCCATCTGGAGCAGAGGACTCAGCCAGTAACTCCTCAGCTTCTGTGACCCACTGCACAAGGTCATTAAGGTCACAATGGAACTGTTTGCAGTCTTCCACTGCTCTCTCAAAATGACTAGAAGACAGAAAAATAAAACAGCTTTTCCAAAGTTGCAGGGACAGTCTAGAAGCAATTCTTCTGGGAAGGGCAATTCAAATCTCATCAAACTAAAGGTTCCAAACAAATGAGTCCACATCTCGCAGCTCCGAATCACCTGTCTGCACAATGGATCATGGCTAATGATTCCTTTTAAGGAACAATGCACACCCAGGCTAGAGCTCTCTGCATCTCCAAACATCCCGCCATCTCGAACTCACACATGTCCATGTACACACCGGGCTTCATTTGCACGAAGAAAAGTGTCTTTGATTTGATTAGTTGGAGGCACATTACCCAAATCAACTCTGAGCATTTCTAACTGCATAAAAGCTAAAAATGTAATTAATTACTGTATTCTCTTAGGAAGAAAACCATGGTGCTTGACTTTGAAAATACTTGGTTCCAGTTAGAGCAAAACTTCAAAGGCTGAAACATTTCACAATTTATTTGTACTCTATTATCTCTGTGTCCCCCACATACCCCATATTCAAATATCAAAACCCTCAGTGCTCAGGGCTTACTCTAAGTTTTGTGCTCAGGAAACCCTACAGAGTTCCAGGGATTAATGGTATGGTGGTTGTGCAAGGCAAGTGACTTACCCACTGTACTCTAGACAAAAACTCCAAACCCTTTTTTTGTTTCTGTTTTGGGGCCATGCCCAACAGTGCTCAGAGCTTATTCCTGTGTCTGCGCTTAGGGATTTTTCCCGGTGGGCTTGGGGACCATAGAGAGTGCCAGAGATTGAACTGGGGTTGACTGTGTGAAAGGCAAGAACCCTACCTGGGGTACTATCTCCCCAGGCCCGTAAGATCCTAAACTCTTCATGTGAGGGTATGTAGAAATAAGCCACTGAAGAAATTATGATGGTAAAAGTAAGATAATAAGAGTTGGGTCCACATTCATATGACACAGAATTAGTGTCGTAAAAGAAAAGAATGCATACCAGATTCTCTCTCTCTTTCTCTCTCTCCTCCCCTTCTCTTTCTCTCTCTCACTCTGTGTACATATCTTATATATATGCAAGAATACAGAAGGAAAGTCATTTAAAGCCAAGAAGGCAGCTGCTCTGCCTCTTCAGCAGGCAGTGATATGCCTCTTTCAGAAACTAATCTCTTAGAGCCAGAAAGACAGTACAGCATATAAGGAGCCTGACTTGCATACAGTCAACCTGGTCCATTCCCTGGCATGACAGATAGATCTCTGAGAACTGGCAATAGTGATCCTTGAGCACAAAGTTGTTGGATTATCCCTGAGAACAGTTAGGTGTGACAGAAAAAGAAGGCAGAATGGCAGGGAGGAAGGCAGGAAGGCAGGAAGGCAGAAATGATTATAAAATTTGATTTGAAATTCAGACAAAATTATTTCTAAGAGATACAAAATTTACCTGCTTAATCTCAATGAAAGGTTGATTTAAACACATATGGAGGAAAAAAGAAAAGATGATACAATAAAATTAAATCAAATTAAAATTTGATGGGTGAAAAAACATTGACAAAAAGTTGTCAAAATTAAGGAATAAAATATGAACTGTTAATATGCTAAGTATACAAAAAACTTTTTTATGTTAATAAATAGTGCAACAGAAAAAATAAAAAAGCATAAAAATTGATAGAAGAAACAACACTGAAACCAACAAGTGCATTTAAATATCCACATCTCATTAGTGATCAAATAAATCAAAATAAAATTAGGACCTAATCCATCAGTATAAAACGGGTCAAGGGCTAGACAGATAATAAAGCTGGGAAGGTGATCGCCTTGGATGCAGCTGACCCAGGTTCGATCCCTGGCTTCATACAGGGCTCCTGAGACTTAACCAGAGTGACCCCTGAGCACAGAGCAAGTAGTATGTCCTGAGCACCACTGAGGATGGCCCAAAATCAATCAATCAATCAGCGGCAATCAATACCCATTGCACCAAAAAAGTTTAAACTGGTCAAGACTGAAATATATTGAATCCTTTCAATAAGAATCTTTCCTATATTGTAATAGGTACTTAATAATCAATTTTGTGATGTAAACCGCAGTCTATAAGTGTTATTTTTTAACGTTACTTGTTAAATTTAGTTTTCACCCTATCATCAAGTCCAATTAAGTAATTGAAGGTAAAGGTAAAGGTAAAGGCCCTCCCGTTGATCGTCGATTTGCTCGAGCGGGCCCAGTAACGTCTCCATTGGAGACTCTGTTGTTACTGTAATTGAAAGTATGCATAAAAAAGAAAGTATGCATAAAGATGTACATAAAGGAATACTCTCTAAATGGACAATTTCAAAAACTCAGATATAGAAAAGAACCCCCAAACATGAACTATTACTCTCTTAAGGACTATTTCATCATGTTGGAAACACATGCAGTGGGTTGGAGCAACAGTACAGCAGGTAGGGCGCTTGCCTTGCATCAGGTTGACCTGGGTTCAATCCATGGCACCCCAAGTGGTTCCCGGACCCACCAGGAGAGATTTCCTTGGTCCAGAGCCAGGAGCAGGCCCTGGGTTCCACTGAATGTGGCCCAAGAACAAACAGACAAGAAAACCACAAGCAGTGAACTGGAGACATAGTTCAGCCACAGAGAACCCCTGCTTGCACCTGAAGCCTTTGGTGAGATCCCCGCATGCCTGGCCGTGTTCTACATCATCAAATGCCATCTCTGGCACTGCCATTGTATCTGTCAGCTTTGAATCAAGTGTGAGCCCTGTACACTGCAGCTACTGAGGAGACTACCACAGGGGTACTGCAGCCAAAGATGACTTCAGCAAACACCACCTTCAGACTGTGATCCCTGGTGACCCCCACCACCAGGGAGGCAAGCCCAGGTGCCACAATGTCAGTAAGGAGAAAGAGAGGAAAAGAATGAAAAAACAAGGGTTAAAAAGAAAGATGAAGAATATGGTGCCCAGTTTTTGCATCTAGGTCTGTGAGATTTTCCAATGAGTCTGTGTTAACTTTCTTCTTATAGGGTTTTATTTATCATCTTAGATCTTTTTCCAGTATACACACAGCTAGAGGCAAAATCTTATTAGCTTTTTTTCTACCTAGTAAAAAAACTTGTGAAAATCTAGGGGAAGAGAGCCACCAATATATTTTGTTAAATAAGAGTTATTAAAAAGGGGGGGTATATTATAATACAAATTTCAATTAAATAGTGCTGTCTCTGTTCTTTATTCATGTTAATCAAGAATATAGAAAACTTGATCATTCATGAAACCTTCTTTAATATTTTAAAGGAACATATACACTATTAAATATAAAAGGTACTTCATTTCGTTAGTAAGCTATTAGAATATTATGTTGTTGTGGTCATCTATAAGTCATTGGATTCCCCTTTCTCTAAAGAAATACACCTCAACAAAATTAAATGAACAGAGTCTATATGAACATATGAAATATGTTCCCATTAATCATAATGTGCATCGGATCTTCCTCACAGCTTATGATTTTATAGGCCTTATTAAAAATAATTAGTTCAATTTCTACATACCTTTTATGATCATCAAACAATCTATTAACTCTATCCCATTTTGCATTCAATTGTGTAAGTGAATCTCGGATCTGGATAGCTTCTGGCCCAGAAGCTTCAAGGATAACATCTGGTTGTTTTTCATGAATGACTGCAATCTGCTCTCCAAGTTTGTCCAGTTGGTCTTTGATAGTCTACAAATACAATATCATACATTAACAAAAGCCAGCAAAGAATTGAATAAAAGAAACTACAGTTGACCAAATGTTTATACTGTATATAACTTATTTCACTATAATGAGACAATAATTACCACTAATCAAAACTGGAAATTTTATGGGTCAGAAAGATTATACAGCAGGTAGGGCATTCGCCTTGTGTGTAGTGGATGTGGGTTCAATCCCTGGCACCAATTATTGTCCCTGGAACCCTGCAGAGCTAGGAGTAAGCCTGAGCACAGAAAGGTATGGTGAAAAAAACAAGTGAAAAAAAAATCTCTAGAAAAAAATACTCTGTACTGGCCTAAGCATGATAAATGCAACATAATAGCCAAGTGGCAAACAAAATAATTTTCAGATATTCAACATGGCTTTTGTACAGGACAAATGAAAAGCTTAAATAACATTCTGTGAAAGTATAAGGTACCTGAAGTGGAGCTATTTTTTAAATAGTTAATAATGCTAATATAAACAGCAAAAATGAGCTACCAAAGTATCAGAAATTTTATTATGACTCTTTAAAGAAATGAAATAAAATTATATGAAAAAGTCTTGATGGTATTCAGTAGTTCTTTAGATGAACTAAACACTTTCAGATCGATATAAATTACAGTCCACCTGCCATTCTATAAGGCAGCAATTGGCTAATCTTAGGCTATTACAGAGGCATTTAAAAAAGTAACATTTTCCATCAGGTTCTATCAGGTTTATGATTATCAGGTTTATATGAAATGAAGACGCCTCGTGCCTGTGACAAATATTAAAGGTGTCTGATATCACAAAGAGTGAATATGTATGCATGATTAAAAATCCATCTTGCAAATGTTGGGGTTTTTACATTTTAAGGAATTTGGGGATCACAAAGTTAAATAATCTAAAATGCATGATAACAAATTTTCCTAACCTGAGTTCTACATTCAATGGAACTGTTCAAATGCAATGCCTGGAGATTTACCTTCAAAGAATCTTCCTGAAAAGAGAAATCTTCATAGACAACAGTGCTTAACTCTGGAGTATTAAGTGATAATTCCACATCATCCACAGAAAATAAAACTTTGTTAATTTCTACCAGATAATCTGCAGGGAGAAGTGATGATCTCATTCCAGAACCAAGCTGAACTGTTTTCCTCAGCTGAATAGGAATTACCTATCAAAACATTAAAAATAATAATAAAGCACTTCTCTATAAACATTCACACAACAAATAACAGCAAGGAAATTCAGTACCATGAAACAAATTTTTTTAAAGTTTTGAAAGCTTTACACTTTAGGTCTGCAGTGCTATTGAGATCCTAAACAATCTCGATTCCAATTTTTTATTTTAACCTGCTGTTAAACCACAAAATAGATCACTATTCCTTTAGAAGTTCAAGTATTTGACTCCAGAATAGCTACAATTTAATAAATGCTTTCTACCACTTGCCAAATGCCAATGTGAATTAATGAAAAAATTATGCAATTGTCTGTGATTTCATTAGAGTTTCTACCTAAAAAATTATATCACTCTGTAAATTCACAGATGACATAAATTTATAAATCCATCTTTATCGAGTTAGTAATCCTGAAAATTTCTAAATGAAACCAGGACTCAAGACTAAAAATCACCAAACAAAAACCATGATATTTAAATTAGAGATCGATATGCATTTGTCTCCTAAAATTCAATAAACTATAACATTCACCAACTGATGAGAGTTCTGGATAGTCGGATTAAAAGCTACAGATTCCTTAATTTTAGTCGCAGGTAATAATTATATTAAAATTTAAGTTAATAATCATAAGTGATCCAAAGAGTCAATCATGCTTGGCACTGACATTAACTTCATCATCCTAATACCACTTGTTCCAAATTTAGTCAGAAAGTATTTCTAGATATTCACCCTCATGTATAAAGAGGCAAATTATTCTTTTAAAATAAATATTCTTCTTTTTTGTAGACTATAATCCAAACATGATGGCCACTCAATACCTCTATTGCAAACTACAACACCCAAAGAAAAGAGTGAGCAAAAGGAAATGCCCTGCCACAGAGGCGGGGCGGGGTGGGAGGGATACTGGGAACAGTGGTGGTGAGCACGAAAGTTTGTAAGTCTACAACTGTACCTCATGGTGTTTCACTAATAAAAAAAATAATTAATTAATTGTTCTTCTTTTCAGATTCTAAGTTTAAATAAGCCAATATTTCGGATGATTTCAAAAGTAATTCATTTCTTTTAAGAGACAAAAGAAAAAGAAGCCACTGAATATTCACAGGTTAACTATTATGTCAAACAACTAAAATACGTGGGGCTAGAGCGATACTATACATATATTTGTCTTGCACCTACGCCTTTGCCTTGCACCTGGCTGACCCAGATGTGGTCCCTGGCAACATATATGGTTCACCAAGCAGCATCAGGAGCTCAATGCCAGGAATAATCTCTGAGCACTGCTAGGTGTGTCCCCCTGACCTCCCCCCAACAAAATTTAAAAAATCAACCATAAAATAAGAATTTAGAAGCTCCAATCTATTAAACACGGTCTTGGTAAGAAATCTGTTTCTTCAAGAAAGAGGAAAAAAATAAAGGCTATAGACATCCAACTACTTGGTACGTATTTGTAGGAACCTTGACATTGTGAAGACTTTGCTCATCAGCATCACTATTATGCCACATTTTTTAAAAATTTGCATTCATGAATACTTAGAGTCACTCTTAAGCCTTAGCAAGAATTTCCAGGCCAGGAATCCTTTAGAAATCAATTCCATCAGAGATGGACATTCTGCAAAGCTGCGTGAACCTGGAGACTTTCAGAGAAAACGGGGCAGGTCAGCAGATAATGTAAAAAAAAGTTCCAAGTTTTCTTTTTAAAATCATGTTCATTAATTCTTTCTTCCACTATCTCTGCTAAAAAATAATGCAATATTTCCTGAAGCCTCATACTCCGTGGAAACAGCAGCGTAGTTCAAGATTCAAATGTATGCTTTCCATGTTCCCAGAATAGATTTTACCCCAAGAGTGATCAATCAAAATGTCTTGGGAGAAAAACAAGTGTCCTTAAGATCTGACCCAGACTTTCTTTATGCTTACGTTTATTTCTTTAAAGAATTCTTCAAGAACACAGAAAAACAGATATATTATGAAATTATACTAAAATTAAGATAATGTTATGGGACACAGTCATGGCCCCAGCAAACTAAATTTCAGGAAGAGTAAAAAAACATATTAAATACTTTATAAACATTTTCTACGTTTTATTAAACTTATGATTTAATAAGTAGCACTATCTCCCATTGTTCATCGATTTGCTCGAGTAGGAACCAGTAACATCTCCATTGTGAGACTTGTTACTGTGTTTGGCATATCAAATACCACATGGGGAGCTTGCCAGTCCCTGCAGTGCAGGCGAGATACTCTTGGTAGCTTGCCGGGCTCTCCAAGAGGGGCAGAGGAATCCAGCCCAGGTTGGCCTCGTGCAAGGCAAATGCCCTACCTGCTGTACTATCGATCCAGCTGGAGGGAAAAGTAGAACTGAAAATAATTGAATGTTCAACAAATCCCAAAAAAATAAGGATTTTTGGATTCCAAAAAAAAAACTGAAAAATTTTTTTTACAAATTTAGGAACTGATAGACATTTTTTAAAAAACATGGCCAGAACCTTCAGATATCAAATGCAGACGTGAAGGAGGAAGTGACTTTTGAATGGCTCAGGTCCTTTTCAGCCTAAAGTTAAATACGTTATCAGAAATCCTGAGATGTTTCCCACTAATATTTCTGTTTCTGCTTCTGTTGTTTTTGAGTCCTGCCCCATCCCCAAACATAAATCTATCTAGAAACACACAGAGAGAAGAGAGAGGATATTTCCATCAATTTGCTTTGTCCATGAATGTAATGTAAAATATCTGAATATCAACAACTCAGTTATCTAGGAGACAACTACCTTAGTTTTATTATATCTTGTGTGCAAAAGTAATAACTGCAAACGGATCTTCTCTTTTTTACTATCCTCCATTGGTTGGTGTAACATTTGCTCTCCTCTCTGAAGAACTTCCTCAATCTGGGCTCTCTCCGCATCCATCTGAAGTTTGAAAAGAAAATAATTATTTGAAAGGAAAAAAAAATCCATAAGATCACTTACGAACAGTTGCTATTTGTATTACTCTTATGGTATACAGTCAAAAAGTTCATTTCTGGGCTTAAAAAAATATTTCACATTTGAAGTTAAAATATCTCACTAAGAATGCTAGCTTAGCACACCTTGGATAGCTCTAAGAGAATAACTTTAATCAAAAAGCGTGTTTTGGGATTGGATTGAGAGTACAGCATGGAAGGCTCTTTCTTTGCATGCAGTCAACCCGGATTTGGTTCCTGGACCAACCCTATATGATCTCCCAAGCCCCGCCAGGAATGGTCCCTGATCTCAGACCCCAAGTAAGCCCAAAGCACCACCTTATGTGGTCAAATAACAACAACATATAAAAAAAAAAGTGTGTATTTTTCTTTTTCAGGCATTACATATATTTTTTGTCAAGTTTTATCTTGTAGTCAATAGAAAACCACATAGATCTAAAATCTATCATGTTCTATTATCTTAGGCAAATATCAATGTTAAAACATAACAGAGAAGAAAAGAACACTGTGACGAGGATCATGGTTTTGAAAATTTCGAACCAACCTTTTCCTCTTCGTCACTGGGTTCCACGCACTTTTCCACAACTTTCAACATACTTTCTATGTCCATTTCTAATTTTTCCAAGTCATAGAAAGGTACTCCTGCTTCAAAGTTTTCCACTCTGGTCAGACGTTGGTATGATAATGGTTCCTGGCCAATCAGCAACTACGGAAAGGAAAGAATTCTTTGAAAAGAATATTCTTACTTGACCTTCCATCATTAAATCAAAGAGAAGCAGTGTCAAGTGATGAACTGAAATGTATCTAAATTGTTATTTCATTCAAAGAAAAAATGATTAGAACTGAAAAATAACTACTATCGCAAAGGAAGAAAGTCAAAGCACAGGAAAATAAAATTAATGCAAGATTTTTGTTAGATTTTCTTTAAGGTGTGAATAACCAAAATGTGTCCATACCTATAAAAATAAGTTTAACCTATTATAACTAAATAAACTAAAGCGAAGTTAGATAAAATTTACTTCTAGCAAGAAAGTAGATAGTTCCACCACAGTGCTCTCCAGAGTTCATGCGTTAATATGCCCTGTACTTAATATGCCTGGGAACTAACTATATTTTTTGTCATATCACTGCACTGTAGCACTGTCCTCCCATCGTTCATTGATTTGCTCAAGCGGACTCAGTAATATTGTAAGACTTGTTACTGTGTTCGGCATATCAAATACATCACGGGTAGCTTGCCAGGCTTTGCCATGCAAGTGAGATACTCTCAGTAGCTGGCTGGGCTCTCCGAGAGGGGCGGAGGAATCGAACTCGGGTTGGCCGCATGCAAGGCAAATGCCCTACCCGCTGTGCTATCACTCTGCCCCTTTTTGGTCATAATATCATCAAATGAAAGCATATCTCTACTAACATATCAGTCATAAGAAAGCAATAATAAAAATGTCTCATTTACTAACCTCAGAACAGAAGGGTAAAAACAGAGAATGAAAATAATACATACACAGAAAGATTTACTATTGTCACAAAACACCTTTCATTACTATTTTAGAAAAACTATTTATCATTCATTCATTATTATTTTGTTTAAATTTAAATAGCTCAAATAAATGAGGATAGAGGAAATAGAGAGATGCGTGCCATGTTCATGGACTAGGAAAATTAACATTGTCAAAATGGCAAAACTCCCCCAGAGCATTATAAAGATTCAATGCAGTATCTATAAAGATACCCATGACATTTTTCACACAAATAGATCAAACACTCCTGAAATTCATATGGCACAATAAACCTCCAGGAATAGCCAAAGCAATCCTTGGGGAAAAAGATGGGAGGCGTGACCTTCCCAAACTTCAAACTGTACTACAAAGCAGTAATGATTAAAGAGCCTGGTATTGAAATCAAGATTGACCTGAAGATCAATGGAGTAAAGCTAAATATCCTGACACAGACTCTCCAATATATGATCACATAATCTTTGATAAAGGAGCAAGAAATATGAAGTAGAGCCGGAAAAGTCTCTTCAACAAGTGGTACTGGGAAATCTGGGCAACTGCATGTAAGAAAATAAAACTCAAACCTCTTTCTAACACCAGGCACAAAATTCAGATAAAAATGGATTAAGTATCTCAATATCAGACCTGAATCCATATTGTACAATGAAAGAAAACATAGGCAGAATGCTCCATGACATTGAAGCCAATGACAACTTCAAAGATGAAACACTACTGACTAAGCAAATGGAAGCAAAGATAAACAAATGGGATTACACTAAACTAAGAAGCTTCTGAATTGCAAAGAAAATGGTGACCAAGCCCACTAAAGGGGAAAAATTATTTACCCAATACCCTTCTGATAAGGGGTTAATATTAAAGATATATAAAGCACTGATAGAATCTTACAAGAAAAAGTATACAACTCCATCAAAAAATGAGGAAAAGGAATGAACAGAAACTTTCTCAAAAAAGAAATATAAATGGCTAAAAGGCACTTGAAAAGATATCCTACATCACTTATGATCAGGGAGATGCGAACAAAAACCACAATGAGGTATCATCTCATACCACAAAGACTGGCACATATCAAAAAGAACAAGAGCAACCAGTACGGGCATGGATGCGGGGAGAAAGAGACTCTGATTCATTGTTGGTAGGAATGCCAACTGGTCCAGCCTTTTTGAAAACAACATGGGAATTCCTAAAAAGAACTAGAAATTGAGATTTCACATGACCCAGTGATACCACTTCTGCAAACACACCTTGGGAGCCCAAAAACACACAGCAGAAACATATAAACTTCTATGTTCATTGCAGCACTGTTCATAATAGCCAGAATCTGGAAACAACCTGAGTGCCCGAGAACAGACAACTGGATAAAGAGACTATGGTACATCTACACAATGGAATACTACGCAGCTGCTAGGAAAAATGAAGTCATGAAATTTGCTCATGAATGGATGGACACCGAGAGTATCATGTTGAGTGAAATGAATCAAAAGATGAGACAGACATAGAGAGATTGCACTCAATCTGTGAGATATAACAAAAATAACGTAATATGAGACTAATATCTACAGACAGTAGAAACAAGAGCCAGGATAGAAATTTGCCACAAGTGGAATGGTGGAGAACAGTTAGGATAGAGAATGACAGTGACAATGAGAGTCGAACAAATACTGAGTGCTGAACGTAAGTAAAGGGATACACATGATAAGCTGTCAGTACCTGTATTGCTAACCATAATGCCCAGAGGAAAGAAAGAGGAGAGAGAGAGAGAGAGAGAGAGAGAGAGAGAGAGAGAGAGAGAGAGAGAGAAGTACCTGCCATAGAGGCAGACTGGGGCAGAGGTGGATGCTGTTGGTGGTGGTGGTGGGAGGGAAACTGAGGGCATCGGTGGTGGGAAATGTACACTAGTGAAGGGATGGGTATTGAAACATTTTATGACTTAAACCCAATCATGAACAACTTTGTAACTGTGTATCTCATGGTGATTCAATTAAAAGTTAATTAATTTAATGAATTTAAAATAAAATAAATAAATTTATATAGCTCCTTTTAACATTTATAAGAACGTTTATAAAATACAAACTGCAATTTTGTGTGGTAGATATACAATGTAAAATTACTTTCAACTATTAGACGTACTAATAATGAGAACAAAAAACGGGTCATGAGTTTATATTATGAGCAATTTTATAAGACCTGGCTATAAAAATGACTTTAGCATCCATAGCTCAATATTGAGTCTTACTATTTAATATGTGTTTAAGATGTTGAAAGATGTCCTTTTTCAGAGAGGTTATTTTTATTTTACTTTAATTTTTTGGTTTGGGGTTCCTATCCAGCTGCGCTCGGGACTTACTCCTGGTTCTGTGCTCAGGGATCACTCCTGGCAGTGCTTGGGGACTTTTGGGGTGCTGTATTTCAAACCAGGTCAGCCACATGCAAAGAAAGTGCCCTGCCCTCTGCACTATCTCTCCAGCCTTAGCATAATACTAATTTATTGATTACTTTCCTTCATGCACACAATCTGGGCTGGAGCGATAGCACAGCGGGTAGAGCGTTTGCCTTGCACGTAGCCAACATGGCCGACCCGAGTTCGATTCCTCCACCCCTCTGAGAGAGCCCGGCAAGCTACCGAGAGTATCTCACCTGCACGGCAACGCCTGGCAAGCTACCTGTGATGTATTCGATATGCCAAACACAGTAACAAGTCTCACAATGTTACTGGGCCGACTTGAGCAAATCGATAAACAATGGGAGGACAGTGACAGTGACAGTGACATGCATACAATCTAAAATAAACAAGGGCAAATGCTCCACTCAAAGACACAGCGAGAACCCAAGAAACTAGCACAAATGTTAGGGGTGTATCCTTTGCATGTATGAAACCTGGTCATTTTCCGGTACCACATGTCTCATCCAGCATTGGTTGATGGCCTGAAGGTCCTAGAGGACCACTTACGAGTGACGGTCCCTGGTGCCACAGGGCCTGAACAGCACTGCACCCTCAGGTCCTAGAATTGAACTGTACATCCCAGTTGTCCAGTTTTGGATATTAAAAATGAATATATAACATCACTGGGAGTATCCCCCAGACTTAGTATTACCTGGAATGGATGTCCACCCCCCTAAAAAGAATATTAAAAGTGCTTAAAAATCACTTTAATGTTAAAAGTTAAACTACCATTTAGTTGTATGCCAACAGAAAAATGGCTTAATATAAGTTTTTTTAAAAAAAAAAAACTTGCCTTGGAATTTTTGATATGTTGAGACACCTTTTCAAAGTTTCTGTTGAGTTCTTCTAATTTGGGTTCTACCAGCTCCCTGCTTGAGCCTCCACGAGCACTCATCAGAATGTTGGCTTCATCTCGGACACTTTCAACTTGAAGCGTAGCATCATCCAGCTCCGATAATAAACGCTAATGATAAGCAAGCACAAAATGATCACATGGGAAAAATCAAGATCAAACATGAGAGCTACATTCATTCAAACAATAAAAGCAGTTGAAATAATTGTCTGAGATTCATAAAGATTTGAGAATAATTATTTCGAGTTCACATGTAAGATGTGTTCAAGAGGTTCTGTTTCTGCACAGAAAGAATGTGTGTACCATTACTCAGAGCACCCCTGAGAGAAAGATGATGCAGAATCCCCGCCCCCCCCCCCCCCCACACACACACACTTCCACAAGACTCTGCATCTGATACCTTCACAATTTCTTCCTGTTTACTTGCTGTTTTTTTCTCAATTTCATCCAACAGGGCTTCAGCCTGATAAAGCCAGGTACTTATGTGAGCAACATTCCCATCAAATATTTCCAACTGGTTCTGATGATTCTGGAAGGAAATTAATAAAATGCTGATATAATAATATGAAATATATATAAAAAATAATCCTGGCAAAGCTTTAAAGGTCTTCAAAGTGTTAATTGTAGCTGAATTGTAAGGATGTCCATATTCTTGCCAAGTTCTTTCCCATTTAAAAATCATTTGTTTTTTGACCTCAATGAAATAAAAAGCTAAAGATCATAAAAAGTGAACACTTCTTTTACTTACTCTCATTCTGTTAGTCTTCCTTACTCTTATCTCAAAATCTCACTTTCTCCTACAGTCGTAGTTGTAAAAACACTCATTAAGATAGTAACAGTATTTTAAAATACTAAATTTGCATTAACTAAGATTTTACCCATTCAATAAACAATAACTACTCAGAGATGAGGGCCTATATCTCTTCATGTCACAATAAAAAGCCCTAAATTTCTATGCCCTATACATTCTGATTGATTCAATAAACATTCAAGTACAGTGCAATTTATTTTTCTCTGCTCAATCCATTACCCAGTAAGCTTATAGCCTTGGAAAAGTTCTATCTCAAATATGTCAAAACAAAATAATAACTTAAAAGAGGTGACTCTACCTCAAAAAAGGAAAGAGTTAGGCTTTATATTCATTACTTGGATAAGAGAGACAGAAACCAATAAGAAATATAACAGAAATAATAAACAATGTCATTAATAACCTGTTTAACAATATGTAATATTTAATATTAATCATAATCATAATCATCAGAAGAATATGTAAAACTGGAAATTTAAGTAGTAATAGTAAAAGTAATTCCATATTTTAAAATCACAATCACCTAAAAAATATGTGAAGTAGAAATTATACTAATGTCCATTTTATAAGAAAAGCTGAAACTCAGAGAACCTGAATTTGATCAATATCACCCAGCTAGTCTTCGAAATGTTTATAAACCCATCAGATGCTGCAACTTATTTCCTTAACTTCCTCATCACTATTTGAACTTTATATAGCTCACATATTTTGTATAGGATGAAAGTCAAATAAAATATTAACTCTTGAAAAGGAAACAAATGGAACACAGTTACTAACACCACAGAAGTCTATGACTATTACAAATTATTGAAAACTTGATAAATAAATGTGAAATTCCTTCAGCTATTTCTTTTTAAAAGAAAAGAATAAAATGTAACCCAAAGAAATTAATTCATGAGCAAAACCTTGATGTGAAACATAAAAAATGAGCTGAAAAATCTAACTTTTTTTTTAATTATACTGTTGTTTCTTTTATTTTTTTTGGGGGGGGGGGGGCAAGGGATTGGATGTTTCGGACCAAACCCAGTGGTACTCCAGGCTGACTCCTGGCTCTGTGCTCAGCTTTAAGGACTGGCAGTACTTGGAGGACCATGTATGGTGCTAGGGATTAAACCAGGGTTGGTTGCATGCAAAGCAAGCACCTTAAGCCCTGTACTATTTCTCTGGCCCCAAGAGTTGAAATTTTAATCAGAGCCTTTTCATTTCATGGAGGGAAGTTTCCTCATTAAATTTTCTCGAAACGTACCAGCAAGGTATTGCACCAGTCCTCGGTCCAGGTACGGACTCGGCTCCAGCCGGCATTGAGCACGCAGAGTCTCTCTTCCAAAACAGGCTCACTGCCCTCGATCAAACTCTGGAGGGCAGCACTATTCTCTGTGATGGTATTCAGATCAGCTTTTCTCTTTTCCAGATCCTTCAGAATATTCTAGAAAATGAAAGTACCAAGATCTTTCAAAACCTTATAACAGCTTACACAATTTTATTTTTTTAAACTTTCTCTCAAACATGAATGCACTGTAGTCTATGATGCCCTAGATAATATATATGTCAAAGGCTTTTAAAAAACAAACAACCTGCATTATTAACCAGGAGAGATTAAGATCCTAATTAAATTGAACATTTATTATTTCAAATACCAAAGAATTTAACAGATCCAGATATGGAAACCAGAGCTATTTCATTTGAGTGTAAATTCCATTAATTATATGCAAACACCTATTCTCTCCATCCTGCAAGTACTGATTTCATATTCAGCAATGACAAGTTGGTAAAACAGAATTCTCCCAGAACTCAAAATTTTAAAAGGTTCTTAACAAATATAGCTTTTTATCTCTTATAGAAAATTACTAGTGTTCACCATATTTACTTCCAAGAATTAGAATTAGAATTAGAATCCTCTAATTAGGTAAACTGACATATAACCTATTGAAAAGGCAGGCAGGACCAAAAGTATTTCATCTTAAGTCAATCAAATGAAACTAGCACAGATAAACTTTGGTCTTAAAGTTGTGATAATACACAAATTCTATAGAAGATGAGATGATAACCTGATTCTCACATTCCTTGCTTAATTCCTTGCTCACATTCCAGGCAATGAGGTACAGGATCTATGCTACCTTTAGAGAATGTTAGATTTCAAAATTGAAACTACAAAATTCTTCCCATCAAAACATAAAATTCATTTCTCTCTTACTGCTGTTGTATTTTTAAAAACCACTTAAATTTAATTTCAAAAAGCTTAAGTCTATTTTTAATTTCACATTCCTAAATTACATTTTGGGAGGTATAAAAACAGCAAATTAACAAGTGACTCAAACTTTAAGCATTTACTTGGCTATATCTGTTGTCTGCATATTTATAAGGGCACTAAGATATTTCTCTTATGTGTTCTTCACCCATAGGGCTTTACAAAAATAAATATCCATAGCTATGTTCTCTGAGTTGTTAAAACACAATATTTTTTAAGCGGGTATGTATCAATGTACTAGAATAATTTTTAAAAACTATAAGAAATTACTATAAGTAATTTTATTGTAAAGAAAAGGCCATTAAAATGATGATACTTAAGCTATGAAATAAAAATATCATCTATTAAAAATGCTGGGCTGGAGCGATAACACAGTGGGTAGGACATCTGCCTTGCACACAGCCGACCCAAGTTCGATTCCCAGCATCCCATATCGTCCCCAGAGCACCTCGGGGAGTAGTTCCTGAGTGCATGAGGCAGGAGTAACCCCTGTGCATTGCTGGGTGTGACCCCCCCAAAAAAAAGAAATTAGAAATGCTGTTTAGATTATGCACAAGATTATTTTATGTAATTATTGAATGAAAATTCATTAAGATGTAAAATATGTATATTTCCTAAATTAAAATATATAAAATTTAAAAAAACAGTGATTATGTACTGATGTTCCACTTGATTTAGGTTCAGTGAAAAGAATATGCTGGAAATTCATGATTATTATACACCATCTTTATTATCTCAAGTATGAATCAAGATTAAGTAAGAATTTACAAATGAACAGTTCCATGAGATAAACATCATAATTTAAGTTACCCAAAAAATGATGAGTCAATTTAAAAACTCTTAAATTTGGTCACACAAAGATGGCTGATTAAAAATTAGGTATACAAAAATCTATGTTATCTAAACATAGCTACAGCAATTGGTTTATAAAAAAGAGTAAAAGCTGGCTTTTATATTCCAATAAAACTAAAATAAATCTGTCAGAAGAGACTTCTTTATTTTATGTAAAGTTACTTGCCTTGCATGCAATGGCCCCAGTTCTAGCCCTGGTACCACACACATGGTCCTCTGAGCACAGAGCCAGAAATAAGCCCTGAGCACAAAGCCAGGAGTAAGCCCTAAGCACAGGATAGTGTGGGGGAAAAAAAAAGGAAGTCTTAGGAGAATAACTTATATGTTATTTAAAAGTCAAAACAGGGGCTGGAGCAATAGCACAGGCCAGGTGCTTGCCTTACATAAAGCTGACCTGGGTATGATTCCCACTCACCCCAAATGGCCCCCGAGCACCACCAAAAGTGACCATGAGCACAGCACTGGGGATAAGCCCTGAGCAACACCAGATATGGCCACTGAAAACAAACAAAAAAGTCAATATAACAAGTTATAAAATCCTCTCAAAACAAATCTAAGATTAGGGGATATAGCTCAGTATTAAATAACATGTCAAGTATGCATGAAATCCTAGGTTCAACTTCTGGCACTACAGAAAAAAAAAGGAACAAAAGAAAAACCTACAAATTTAAGATAATTAAAATAAAAATCCCTACAAGAATTTGTTTCAAAATTTGAAAAATTTAAATCTGAAGTTCATGAGTTTATGCTAAAATATATGCACAAAGACAGGAATTAACGACTCATTAAAATATATTATAAAACCATACAGTTAAATAGCTGAAAAACTAAAAAGGCCACATAAGTAAGGCAGAAGACAAATAAAATCAATAGGCAAAAAAGAATATATGAACTTATATATGACTTAGAATGTCCAGTAAGTAAGAAATGGATAATTACTTAATAAATGGTTCTGGTACTACTGGTTACTATTTTGGAAAAAGAAAGAGCCTTACCTCATGACATACAGTAAAATAAATTCTAGAAGAATTTAAAGCATTAAAGTTAAAAAGAAAAATATATAAAAGAATGTATAAGAATATAATTAAAGAATATAAACTTGGACTCTCTAAGCTCTAAATGAAGAAATACTGAAGATGAATAATGAATTATTGCTTAAAAATATATAATAAGGCTAAGTTTTAAAAAATTCAGAACAGAAAGAAAATTATTGTGGCAAATAAAAGTTTTGCAGCAATTCAGAACAAAGCAATAGTAATGATAATAGTTAAAGAGTTCTAAATCTAAAAATCAAACCTGAGAGAGAATGATCAGAATTATAAGAGGAAAAATAAAGTTCATAAGAGTAACAATTGGCCTGCAAATTTATGAAAAATGGTCTGATTGAATAGCCAAAACATGCTATTTGCCTACCATTGTCAAAGATATAGTTAAAACAAGTAAGTAGGAATTCTCACTCGCAACTGGTGGGAATATTTCTGAGGATAATGTCATAAAATCATAAAGTAAAAGTAAAGTAAAGGCCCTCCCATTGATCATCGATTTGCTCGAGCGGGCCCAGTAACGTCTCCATTGGAGACTTTGTTGGTACTGTGTTTGGCATATCGAATACGTCACGGGGAGCTTGCCAGGCTCTACCGTGCGGGCGAGATACTCTCGGTAGCTTGCCGGGCTCTCTGAGAGGGGCGGAGGAATCGAACTCGGTCGGCCATGTTGGCTGCGTGCAAGGCAAACGCCCTACCGCTGTGCTATCGCTGTCATAAAATCATAAGATTTTTAAATGGCTATATCTCTTGACCCAACAATTTCAGGGCTAGAATGATCTAAAGGAAATATTATGAAGTATACTATGATTTAGCTACAAGTATATCCACCATAGCATGTGTTACAGTAATAAAACTCAGTCATTTAAATGACGTGAGTGGAATAATGGAACAATAAAAAACAAAATGTGATGTAACACTGTCTTCTCTAGTATGTGATAAATTCCTTCGGAGAGAAAGAAAATGTTAAAACACTAGTCTTCAAAAGGTCATGAATTTTAACCAATATCTATTTTAAATTATGATCATTATTCCCGAATATTGGCAACTATCGCCCAATCTGCCTATTGTCTGTCATCTACAAACTATTCACTCGAGTCATCCTGAATAGGATTAGCAGAACACTAGATGAAGGACAACCATGTGAACAAGCCGGATTCCGAAAAGGATTCAGTACCATCGACCATATCCACACAATAACCAAGCTCATTGAGGTATCTCGAGAGTTCAAGATACCGCTCTGTCTAACATTCATTGATTTAAAGAAGGCCTTTGATTCTGTTGAGATTGAAGCAGTCATTGAAGCCCTAGCTAGGCAGGGCATTCAAACTCAATACATCAGGATCCTTTGTGAGCTCTATTGCGGATTCACTACCAAGATCTCACCATTCTACAAAGAAGTAATCATCCATATCAAGAGAGGGGTTCGGCAGGGTGATACCATTTCACCAAAACTCTTCAGTGCCACCCTCGAGAACATCATGCGACGACTGGAATGGGAAAGCATGGTAATGAAGATAGTAGATGGTCAGCAACTACACCACCTCCGCTTTGCTGATGAAATCGTTTTAATAACACCAAACATCAGCCAAGCGGCACAAATGCTGAACGACTTTGACCGTGAATGTGGAAAGGTCGGACTACAGCTGAATCTTACGAAGACAATGTTTATGAGAAACAGCCTTGTTCCTGACGCTCCATTCGCTCTCAACGGAACCACCATCTCCGAATGCAACAGTTATATATACCTAGGTCGAGAAATCAACATGATGAATGACCTGACACCTGAGTTGCGCAGGAGGAAGAGAGCGGCTTGGAATGCCTTCAAGAGCATTGAAGAAATAACTAAAAGGACAAAGAACCTCCAGCTACGAGCACATCTCTTTGATTCCACTATTCTTCCTGCATTAACATATGCCTCAGAGACCTGGACCCTACGAAAACAGGATGAGAACGCTATTCGGGTCACTCAAAGAGGAATCGAAAGAACTATGCTTGGAATATCACGATTCACTCAAATGAGAGATAGAATCCGGAGTTCTGATCTTCGTCAACGCTCAAGAATCAGGGACGCTGTCTCATTTGCCAAGACATCAAAAATCAGATGGGCTGGACACGTAATGAGGTTTACAGACAACCGCTGGACTAGAGCCATTACTGATTGGATTCCACGGGACATCAAAAGATCACGTGGACGCCCACCTATAAGATGGTCAGACTTCTTCGTCAAGACCCTAAATGATCGGTTTGAGGCTCTGCATGTTCCTAGAACGAACAGATACCATTGGGCTACGCTAGCACGCAACCGGGATGAATGGAGACGTTACTGGCACCCGCTCGAATAAATCGATGAATAACGGGGATTAAGTGATTAAGTGATTCCCGAATATATGCTGGTGTTCAGTGCATGTCTGTCTGTATTTGTAGAAACTGAAACTGAAACCAGGCCAGAGTGTATGTCTAACATGGACCACCCAACCCAAATTTGATTCTTGCCATATCAGGTCCCCCCAACACCACCGAGTTGGCCGTGGAGATCCAAAGCACTATCACATCCTTGGGCCCTTTCATTAAACTGCTGGCCTGGCTGGTCAAGACAACATGGAAGGGACCCAGAGGTCTCTGCTTGAAAGTCCTCTTTTAATAAGAAGATAATGGCTGGAGAGACAGCACAGGGGTTATGGTATATGCCTTCCACGCAACTAATCCCAATTTCATCCTTGGAACCTGATGTGTCCAAGATCCCCAATGGTTCCCCAAGCATTTTGGGTGCAGTCCTAAAACACCCCCCACCCCAACACTGCTAGTGAACCCTGAAGGTCCCAGAGCATTGCTCGGTATCCCGGGTAATCCCTGCTAAGCAGAACCACATTCTTTTTTAATGTGTTCCATCTCTTTATTTTTTTAAATTTTTCTAGACTCTGTCCATCTGTAGTTTATAATAGAAAGATCAGTTACAGGTACAAAAGTTATCCAAGGTTTAATAAATCCAGGACAGTACTTTGTAAAGAATAAACACCAGAAAATGTCACCCACTTTGGAAGTGATAATGATAATTATAATGTTTTCAAGTACCACATAAGCATGATGCTTACAAAGGCCTGGTTAGTGATCCACATGACTTCAGTGGTTTATTTTTTTGTTTGATTGTTTTTATTTTTATTTTTTGGAATCAAGGTAAAAATATATTGCTAAGAGAGTTGTTTTCAAAAGACTTATTCTTCTTCCTTAGAACAGAGAATTTGAAAAACAATCAGAAAAGAGAAGGTTTTATCAAAAATGAAGTGGAGAGAAATGATATCAATCCAAAATGCCCTGAACAAAATGCCACGAGCTACACTGGCATAAAACTGGTAGTTCAATGGAATTTCAACTTACTTTTGCCCAGGAAATTTCTGTATCCAAGTCACCGAACAAACCTTCTGATGTAGATTTCTGCACCAACTCTGTCTCAGTGACAGAAAGCCAGTCAGAGAGAATACCAGCCTCTTTCTTCAACTTCCGGGCCAATTGTGATGCTCTTTCCAGATCTTGTTTGCTCTCAGTCACCTGAAAACAGAAATGGGGAGCAAAGAGAGAAGGTGAGGGAAGAAGCGTGTGGTGAATGGACATGAATGAAAGTAAAGCAAAATATTGCACTGGTGGAAGAAACGACTGCTCGATCACTGTATGACTGAAACTTAAACACGAAAATCTTGTAACTATAGCTCACGGTAGTCAATAAATAATAATAAAAGGATCAGAGAAAGAGGAGAGTGGGTAGGGGTCTTGTCTTGCATACAGAAGACCTGAGTTTGATCTCTGGCATCCCATATGGTCCCCCAAGTTCACCAGGAGTGATTTCTGAGCACAGAGCCAGGAGTAAGCTCTGAGTACTGACAAGTTTGGTCCAAAAATTAAAAAAAAACAAACTACAACTAAGGATTCTAAGCAGTTCATATTTAACCCATATATATATATATATATATATATATATATATATATATAAAACCATTATCTCTGGTACCTAGGCTACTTATATTCCTTAATTCCTACAAAAAGATGATACGCTGAAATTGTTCATATCAGACAATCCTGGGTTTTCATTTTGCGTTTACCAGTTACTAGCTAAGTGAAAATCCTACAGGTATAGTCCTCAAAAGGGTACTATAGGTATTCAGTGAATAAAATACATACATAAGAGGTAACAAAATCAAGGTATCAAAAAGCAGTATCTTTTATCAGATTGAATAAAAGATGCCTTATATTCTCTTTGAAGGATGTATAAAAATGACACAATACATATTATTATCTAGCAATTTGAGGGGGACGTACTATACTTTTCTTTATTCTACACTAAATCTACTAAAACAAGGTAAATGACTATGCAACATAAACCTGCATCATTATATTTTATTCTTATTTTTCATTTTTTTCTTACTCTTACTCTCCATTGAGTAAGAATGAAGAACATGAACCGACATAACATTTAGTAGACTTAATTAGCTCCCACATCACACTACAAAATCCTACATAATAAGTAAGAAAACATAGCATCTTCCTTTGTAGGGGGTATCCTCTCTGTTTTCACAGATTTGGGAAGCAAAGTTAAAGAGACCCAGGCCATAACCAGGACATTGGGGTAATTTGAATGAACCTGGTTTGACCTTTATATCACATGCTGGTTCTCTCCAACTAAGCAATCATTCGTAATCTGCCGCTTAGAAAACCTCCTAAGGAAAACACTATACAATTCGTAAACAAAGCATGTTCCTTCTTTTATGTACACAAATGTACAAATAATAACATTACCTAAGTAGAGTGATAAGTCATGCACAGGATGAAATATTTTTAATAACAGAAAATTACAAAGACTGATTTTTTTAATGAGTAATACAAGTTTCCATTTCCTTATTCTAACTCCCAAGGCTAAATTTTACCTCTTTCATTTATCAAGAATACATTAGTATTTGTGTTCTCCTTAAAAGTAGAATTTTTTTCCTCTAGAGTTTAATTAAATACATGATTAACCTGCACTTCAACACAGATTTTTAGGAGACAAATGCTTACATCAAAAATATTTAAGTGTATTTCACAAGAATAGCTGAGATCAGTACCAGGAGGATTACTCCATGGCTTAGAGGCCAGTCGGGCATTCTAGAGAAAAGGGCAGCTCAGATAGAGAAGGAAACACCAAATAAAGGGTGTTTGGAGGGTCCTCCCAGGATGGGACATGCATGATGAAAGAAGACTATGGACCGAACATGATTGCCACTCAATGCCTCTTTTGCAGACCACAACACCCAAAAGGAGAGAGAGAACAAAAGGGAATGCCCTGCCACAGAGGCAGGGCGGGATGGGGGGATAAGGGGTGGGAGGGATACTGGGATCCGATCCGTGGTGGTGGGAAATGGGCACTGGTGGAGGGATGGGTTTTTGATCATTGTATAATCGAAACCCAAGCACAAAAATCTGTAAGTTTACAACTGTACCTCATGGTGTTTCACTAATAAAAATTAAAAAAAAAAATTAAGTGTATTTAAGTGACAATTATCTGGTTCAACATGTCTAGGCAGTAAATGATCCTAAAACTTACTCCTACCTAAGACATGTATAAAGTAAAAAGTAAAGGCCCTCCCGTTGATCGTCGATTTGCTTGAGCGGGCCCAGTAACGTCTCCATTGGAGACTTTGTTGTTACTGTGTAAGGCATATCGAATACTCTCGGTAGCTTGCCAGGCTCTCTGAGAGGGGCGGAGGAATCGAACTCAGGTCGGCCATGTTGGCCGCTTGTAAGGCGGACGCCCTACCCGCTGTGCAGGAAGAAAATAATTTACAATTCAACCTATAATTTATATAAAAATAAATCTAATCAATACATTTAAGGTGAAGTGCATATGAAAATAGGTAGTATCAAGTTGAAAATCTTTTATGTAACCATTTATCCCTTTGCCCTATTGAATATTCAAGAATTCCATCTCAGCAGAATCATTCCATTGAGGCATGAAACACACACATGTCAGCCTGTAAGGCTATCTCTAACTCTTATTTCTATCTCTGTCTCTGTCTGTCTCTCTGTCTCTGTCTCTGTCTCTGTCTCTGTCTCTCTCTGTCTCTCTCTCTCTCTTTCCCCCCTCCTTTTCCAGTCACCCACACCTATCTTTGGTCCCATCTCACCCTAAAGATTCTTCCATTAATTCCTTTCAAAAAAAAAAAAAAAGGTTCTATCTATCAGTCACACAAACTTCTGGGCATGTCACAAACAAAGGCTTCTACTACCATCGCCCCATAGCCATCCCTAAAAATCAGTTTTGTAAGTTCACTAAGTCTCCATGACAACAGATATAATTAATATTTTTGAGTTGACATTATATCTAATTTTTCAAATAAGGTGCTAATAATCACTCACAAAATCCCCTTTCCCTGGCTTCCCATACCAACTACTCTGCTGATGCTACTAACTTTGCTACTTGCTGTAGTGTGAATATAGATATATGTGGGAGGCTTCTCCCTTTGCGTTAAATTATCATCAGTTTAAAATATTACAGAATTTAAGGATACAGCTAAACACCAATATACAAGAGTAGGATTCACTATACCCACCACAGGCCATGTGTTTAGGTAGTGCCATGTGGAATTAAAAGTCATAAAGTGTGTGTGGGGTGTGGGGGGGGGGCTGGAGCAATAGCACAGTGGGCATAGGGCATTTGCATCCCATATAGTCCCTGGAGCACTGCCAAAAGTAATTCCTGAGTACAGAGCCAGGAGTAACCCCTGTGCATCGCTGGGGTCACCAAAAAGCAAAAAAAAAAAAAAAAGTCACAAAGTGTGATAACTTTATTTATATATACACTATGAAATGATTCCCACCATCAGATTAATTATATCATCTTACAGCTACCATTTGGGGGCCAGAAAAATTAAGTTCTACTCATTAGCAAATTTTCTCAAAAATAAAAACATAATTACCAGTTGATTTGGCCACTCACTTATGGAAAATACCCAAAGGAAATCCCCATGTGAGAGAGATATCTTTATTCCAATGTTCATTTCAGTGGTGTTCATAATGAACAAGATATAGCAATAAAAAAATTTTAGTGGCTAAATGATAAAGGAAACGTGCTTTTAACCCACTCACCCTGAGTAAAGCAATCCTAGGAAAAATGAATCTGGAAGAATTTCATTTCTCTAACTTTAAAATTAAACTATAATCTATAGTAATAAAGACAGCATGGTAGTGGAATAATGACAGACTCTCAGACCAATGGAATAGAACTGGGAACACAGACATAGACCCTCAGGTACACAGACAGCTAGCTCATCTTCAAAAAAGTACTTACATATGTAAAGTAGAATGAGGAAAAGCCTATACAATAAAGGATGTTGATTAACCTGATCAGTCACATGCAAAAAACCTGAACATTGTGTCCTATTTTATACCTTCTAAGAAAGTAAATTTAAAATGGATCAGGGACCTCTATATGAGACCTGAATCCATAAATTATATTGAGTAAAACATAGGCAGAACGATTCACGGCACTGAATCTAAAGGCAATTTCAATGATTCATTGCCATTGGTCAAGCAAGTCGAAGAAAAATAAGTGGGATTATAGTAGACTAACAAGCTTCTGTGTTGTAAAAAATATTTAAAAATGAAAAAATAAAACCTGATCACTAAAATAAAAATACGCCATACATTATGGAAAAAAGATATTCGTACTCAATACTCATGTAACAAAGGATTAATATCCAAAATACATAAAGCACCTATAAAAAATTAACAACTAGAAAACAAATGACTCCATCCAACCCCATAAAAAATAGCATGGAGGGCTCTTGCCTTGCATGAGGTTAATCCATATCCAACCCCCAACACCATATGCGGTCCCCAGAGTCCTCCAGAAGTGATCTCGGAGCACACAGCCAGAAGTAAGCCCTGAGCACTTCCACGTGTGCCCAAAAACCAAAAACTAAAAAGGAGGGATAAAGGACATATCAACAGACATTTCCTCAAAGAATACACGCAGATGGTCAACAGATAATCTTTATCACCCCTTCAACATTACTACCACTGGGCAGATGACCTAAAAAACTCTTATCCTCAGTTCATAAAGATGCTCCAGACTTGAATAACTTTGTTGAAAGGTGACACAACCAATAAACACTCACATTCAATTAAAATGTCTTATCAAATGCATGCTTATGATTTCTTCCTATCTCTTTTTCTTCTCAACGATGGCCACAGGATCTTTCACTTACCGAAACCAGAAACCCCAGGATTTCTTTTTTTGCTTTTTGGGTCACACCCGGCAATGCACAGGGGTTACTTCTGACTCATGCACTCAGGAATTACTCCTGGCAGTACTCAGGGTGACCATATGGAATGCTGGGAATCGAACCCGGGTCAGCCGCATGCAAGGCAAACACCCTACCCACAATGCTATTGCTCTAGCTCCAGAAACCCCAGGATTACCTTCATCCTTTTTGTCCTATATTCCCACATCTACTCTTTCAACAAGTCATGCTCAGTTCACTTCCTGATTATCTGAAGCCAATCTGTCCACACTATCTCCACTGATCTACCTGAATTCAAGAGAACATCACATCTACTGAGCAGAAGAGGATTTCCTGTTAACCTCTTTACATCCATTCCCGCCTCTCTCCAATTCACCCTCTAAAGAGCTGAGTAAAACGAACAAGCATACTCATACACACACACACCTGAGCATGACAGTTCCAGTTCAAATCCTGTGGTAGTATACTGACATTAAGTCCACTGTCCACTGTCCTCCCGTTGTTCATCAATTTGCTCAAGCGGGCCCAGTAACATCTCCATTTTGAGATTTGTTGTTATTGTGTTGGCATATTGAATACGTCACAGGTAGCTTGCCAGGTTTTACCATACGGGCATGATACTCTTGGTAGCTTGCCGGGCTCTCCAAGAGGTGTGGAGGAATTGAACCTGGTTGCGCGCAAGGCAAACGTCCTACCGTTGTGCTATGGCTCCAGCCCGACATTAAGTCAGAGGTGAAAATCCTTATTCTAAACTCTAATATACTAAACAGCTCTGGTCACATCCCATTTCTCCAGCCCCATGTTCCTCACACTCACACTCATACTTTCTGCTTTAATTACATGAAAGTACCATCAACAGGTGTTTTCCTTCTTGCCTTCTCCCTCAGCCTTCATACTGTCAGTATCTGCACCACTTTTTCAGGAAAGCTTTCTCCTTCTATTCTGAGTCAAACTCCCCAGTAACACATATTTTTAAGTGCTAAGTACATTCATTCATAACACATCAGACTAACAATTTGACATCACTTTCTATGATTAGGGGATGAACGATTTCTTCTTTCATCATCCCAAATCCCACAGGACATAGAACACTTAAGTTCTTGCTTATTCCTGCATTTCTACTGCTAGTACAACTATTAAAACTAGTACAACTACTAGTAAAGTTTCAATGGTGCTGAATGAGAAAATGACAGCTATAAAACCAAACTCACAATTAGAGAACTGGTGTACAAATCAGCAATAGCACTCCCATCATCTATAAAATATCCAGCCAATAAATAAATACACGTTTAATAAAGAACATCAGCTGTCTAATGCCACAAAGGAACTCTTAAAAAGTCTATGTTCCAGATGTGCAATGTATCAAAAAGATAGAAAAATATCACATCAATAATAAAATCTTACAGGAGAGGTCAAAACTGCTTGGAAAATTTTTGCTGATTTGAAAAACGATAGCAAAATTTGTTAGCTTTCTGAGGGCTTGGGGAGAAACGTAGTTAATAATTAATAACCCAAGAAAAATGGGAAATATTATCCAACACAGGCTTTCAATACTGCTGAGAAGTTTTTACTTCCATACATTTTTTCTGCTTGCCTGGTTTTAGGGCAGAGATTCTCGGTGAGAAAAGACATTAAGCCCATTGATTTCAGTCCATCACTCACGGTAAACATCTAACAACTGCCACGCAAATTTGCTAAATTGCCCAAATTATAGATGCTTCTCAAAAGAATTCTTAATCCCGCGCGATTAATGTGAACTAACGGCCGTTACGATTTATCAGAGTCCTGCTGTTCTACCATTTCTCAGTAGACTGGCAATTTGATTTAGAAATCAGTGACCAATAACTGGAGTTTATATGGATGAGGACTATTATTTGTAGATTCCTCATAATAGCATAAAATGTCATGAGCCTTGACTATAAAAATTAATGTGGATGGAAGATTAAAATAAATGTGAGATCACAATTCATCAGGACAATATTAACACATACATTCAAATAAATATAATAACCGTCATTGGCATAATTGAAGACATGAATTATTTATGTTGTAAAATTGAAAGAAGTTTTCTCCCAGCAGTGAATGTTTCTAATGCATGAATCGGAGGATGGTATGAGCAGTGGGGCCGCGTGCTTACCTGGGCACCCAGGTCATTGTAGAGGACCTTCAGGGAAGTCAGCTGCTCATCCATGTCCCTGGGGTTGTCAGTTTGCTGCTTTTGCACAATGTGCCTTCCGGTTTTGATTACAGTCTCCACTTCAAGTTTGACTTCACTCAATGTTTTGTAAAGTTTCTTTAAAAAAAAATTAAGCAAGATGAATTTTCCACCTTGGAGTGAAAATCTATTTAGTAGACTCTTTCCTGATCACAGTCTACATCAACTAACATCTGATCCACGGTCTTGATCTTTCTCAGATTTGGTTCAAAGGATGAATTAAAGTAAGACCAAAGTTTTAATAACATTATATTCAGATACAAAAATGAACTAGCACAAATTGTATTTTTAGAAACTCACTGTAGCACTGTAGCACTGCCCTCCCATTGTTCATCCATTTTCTCGAGCAGGCACCAGTAACGTCTCCATTGTGAGACTTGTTGTTACTGTTTTTGGCATATCAAATATGCCACGGGGAGCTTGCCAGGCCCTGCCATGCTTGCAGGATACTCTCGGTAGCTTGCCAGGCTCTCCGAGAGGGATGGAGGCCCCTATATAAAACAGATATATAGGGCCAGGAAAACAATGTGTGGTGAGAGCACATTTTCTGCACGTGTGGAACCCTGGTTTGCTCTCTGGCACCACATGATCCCCCAAGCATCGCTGGTAGCACAAGACCTGAGGACTAAACTGTTTGGTGGAGAATCACCAAGTGTGGCCCCAGGAATTCCCCCAAATACACAAGTGCCTAAAGCATCTTGTCAAGTTGGAGAGACAACCAGAAGTGAATGCTAAATCTTGAAAAACAGTCTCCAGACATTCCCCCAAACATCTCAAGATTCTCCCCAGCTTTCATGAGCAAAAGCAGGAGTATATTTCTCATGGCAGTGAGAGGGCACAGAGGATGCTGGGACCCAGACACAGGGCAGTGAGCGGGCACAGTCTCTGGATGTAGCTGTGGGAGTATAGCCAGACAGGGGCCCTGTGTCCTGGCCTAGGCAGAAGGGGAGCTCTTGAAACATATGCCATGACAGCATGTTGGGGTGCTCCTTCTGACCCCCTCGTCCTTCCACATCTTCCACCTTTAGAAACTCAGATGGACATTTTTAAAGGTTTTATGGAAACATTCGATAATATGAGTGTATTTCTTACATAAAGGAGGAAAATATTAGGACTCCAACTTGAAGGCCTATCATTTTTTAATTCAATTTTTAAAAATCTCAAATGCTATTGCTAAAATAAACCCAATATTAGATGCCCCCAGTCAGAGTCCAGGATGAGCTTTACCCAGAAATTAATCTGTTGAAAAACTCAAGTATGCAGGTTTTGTGACTGAAATCTCCAGGCTTTCATGGAGTCAGATATGAACTACCTCGCCCCATCTCCTTGTAATTCCAGAAGCCCCAGCAGTAACACAAACTCCCCAAAACTGCAAGCCAGTTTAAAATTTAACTCCAACTGTTGCACTGTAGTGCTGTCCTCCTGTTCTTCATCGATTTGCTTGAGTGAGCACCAGTAACATCTCACAACAAGTTGTGAGACTTGTTGTTACTGTTTTTGGCATATTGAATATGTCACGGGGAGCTTACCAGGATTTGCCATGCGGGCGAGATACTCTCAGTAGCTTGTCAGGCTCTCCGAGAGGGGCAGAGAAATCAAACTGGGGTCGGCTGTATGCAGGGCAAATGCCCAACCCACTGTGCTATCGCTCCAGCCCCCAACTGTATCACCCATTAAAAATTTTGAACTTCCTGGAGCAATATCTCAAACTCAACAACACTGATAAACCAGGAGTAGCAGACCAGATTGGGTGTAATGTAATGAAGAAAGCAACCAATCTCAAATAACAAAATATAAACAAAGAAGATTTAGCCTGTTACAATATCTTAGTAATTCCTTATACAAGGACTTTATGGCTCCATGGTGAGATAAAACAATCTTCACTAACTTTTTTCTAAGGAAACAGTTTTTGATCATTCTGTTCTGTTAGCAATTTATTGGTAACATGCAATATAAAATAAATTATTGAGAGCTTGCTATGAAGGCAGGCTTAAGGGGTTGTTGGGAAAATTGGAGAGAATGGTATTGGGAAAGTGTAATGGTATTGGGATTGGTGTTGGAATATTGAAACCCTGTAACAAATCATTATGAACAACTTAGTAAAGAAAAAGGAACCGGTAGGGCTATTTCTGATATTAGAATTTAGAATATTAAAGTTATTTTCTCTTTGTAACTCTTATAAGTATCCCACAACGAGTTTAATTATTTGCATAAAAATAAATATAAACAAACTATATCAAGATGTATATAAATGCTTGTGTATAGTCTTACTTATAGTAAGAAATTGAAATTGTACAAGCAAAATTAAGAGCTTTTCTCACTCTTGTTACCCTGAAACCAGTCACATATAAAACTTTACTACACTAAGTTACATGAAGTCAAGGGCAGTGCTTGATATATAATTTATATATAATTTAACTTTCCTTGAGGAAACTTTGTGTACAGTAATATCCCTAACATTCATTCTTATAATTGTTCTTTTAACTAACTTAAACGTTCTTAAAAACTTGGCTTGTTAGTCACATTCTGAGACAGTCTTCTGAATTTAAGATCTTATCTTAATCTAACTGCTTATATGTCTATGCCAGTTACCTTTCCTCATTACACAGAAATGACTGAGTTTACTCTCTACCATCTCCTATGTCTTCAATGTCTTCAAACTTCGTTAAAATAAAAGACAACACTTCCCACTCATTAACTGGATTTTTTAACAAGCATCCCTATTCTTAGCACACTCTGGACTAATAACCATAGACTAAGCCATAAATAAAATGTTATACGGAGCTATATTTGTCTCTGCAAGACCCACTCCATAATCGAAACACCCAACAGACTCACCATACACTTGTCCAGGTGGGTCTGTATGACATCAGGGTCCACATCCTTCACAACCATAACCGGAAGTTCTGCTTTCACGCCATCCAACACACGCTTGCAGTCCAGCATGCGCTGCTCAAAGTTAGCAGGCTTCTGGAAGAGCTGGAACTTGGTGGACACCTCTCGAAGCTTCCTCTGTTTGCAGAAATTAAAACAGTAAGAAATTCACAGCAGTATAACAACTTACTCCTCTACCTGGTCACAAAACTGGAAGGCACAGCCATCTCACAAATTTCCTGACAATCAGTATCTGAGTCTTCAAGATTAAAAGAAAGGCTAGTCTGACATCACTGGAAAAAAAAACAAATAAACAAAATACTAAACCCTCCCTTAATTTTCTCCTCTCCTGTTTGAAAACACAGTTCAGGAGCATAGAACTTTCCAAATGCCCATCTAGCCAGCTCAGAGTGAAGGTCAAGCTCACTCATGGAACTAAGTGGTGCTGCCTACATGGGCTCAGCTTACCCAGTGTGTTTTCCACACCAGTCTTGATAAGTGCTCCACAACTAATGGACAAATCTTCATGAAACCATCTCTAAGTCTCTCTCTTTTTCTCTCTCTCTCTCTCTCTCTCTCTCTCTCTCTCTCTCTCTCTCTCTCTCTCTCTCTCTCTCTCTCCCCCTCCCAACTATGAGCATCACATTCAAGGGGGCAGAGAAACAACATAGAGACAAAAGCACCTGCCTTGCATGCATCTGTCTTAGGTTCAATCCCCGGCACCACATATGATCCCCTGAGCACTGCTATACGAGTGAGCACAGAGTCAAGAATAAGACCTAAGCACCACTGGGTTTAGATACAATCTTCTCATTTATCCATTACAGCTATGTAATTCAATTACAGCTATGTAGTTCTGCTGTCGTGACGCACAATGACATTTCAATCCATCACTCCCACTCACTGTCTACATCACCAAAAGACCTAAAGCATCCAAGTCGCCAGCTCTTTCTCATGTCCATTTTATGCCCAAACCCCTGAGAAGTAAAGGGTGCTGCTCCCCGCTACTCACCTGCAGCACGTCAACTTGTCCTCCTCCTCGTGCACTCCTACTTTCGGGGGAGGATGGGGGCGGAGAGCGGGTATTTCTTCTCAACTCCTCGAGAGTTAGCTCATGGGCTGTGATCTCTGCTTGGATTCTCTACAGAGAGTTTAGGAAAAAGAAAAGAACGGATTTTTCGAATGTAGGATTGATTTCATTTTATAATTTTTTAATGAAGTAACAGCTTGTGATAATGTTATGACTCAAGTATGTACAACATTGAAAATCAGCATGCACAAGTATATGGATCTACATGTACATGTACATGTGGGAGAGCCCCAGGTTTACTTCCAGCATTGCATGGTCCCCTAAGTACCTCATGATCTTCTAAGTTCCAAGGCAGATGTGGTCCTCTAACAATTTCCAGGTGTGGTTCAAACACACAAGCATGTGCACACACAAACACACACACAATATTGTTCATTTTTCCACCAAATAACAAAAACTGTAAGGGTTATCTATTTATCAAAGAGAACTCTATAACAAGCAAGCTAGTTCATTGTAGCATTGTTCACAATAACCAGAATCTGGAAACAGCCCAAGCACCAGAGAAAAGAGGACTAGTTAAAGAAATGTTGTTACATCTACACAATGGAATACCATGCAGTTGTTAGGAAAGACATATGAAGTTTGCTTATAAGTGGATGCTACGGAGAGTATCATGTTAAATGAATGAGTCAGAAAGAGAGGGATAGAAGAAGGACTGCACTCATTGTGGAATATAAAATAACATAATATGAGATTGACACCCAAGGACAGTAGAGACAAGGGCCAGGAATATTGCTCCATAGTTGGAAGCCTGTCTCATGAGCTGGGGGAGAAGGCAGCTGGAATAGAGAAGGGATCACTAAGTCAATGATGGTTGGAAGAATCATTTGGGATGGGAGATGTGTGCTGAAAGTAGATAAAGGAACAAATGTGATAGTGTCTCACTATCTATATTGCAAACCATTAATGCCCAAAAGTAGAAAAAGAGTACAGGGGAAATTGTCTGCCATAGCAGTAGGGGGAAGAGTTGGAAAAGGGGAGGGGAGGTATACTAGGGACACTGGTGGTAGAGAATGTGCACTGGTGGAGGGATGGGTGTTTGATCATTGTATGACTAAAACTCAAACATGAAATCTTTGTAACTGTATCTCAAGGTGATTAATAAAAAAAACAACAACCAATCTATCTATAGCAAGGTTAATCAACTGTTACTCTCTGTAAGGATGGCAGGAAGAGCATAATTCCTTGTGTCCGTTTTACAATTAACAAGCCCCAAATCTATGGCATACCTGTGCTTCCTGTGGAAGCTGGAAGGCATCTATTCGATCCGTCAAGTAAGTTGTGAGTTGCTTGTCTAGTTCCCCTAAACTCTCCTGTAAGACTTGAAGCATGTGGTCATTTTCCCTTAGGACCTGTAGTTGCTTTTCCAAAGAAATCTGCTTGCTCTCTGCCTACATAGGGGGGAAAGTTGATCATTAGTCACTCAGCACAAATATAACAAGCTTGGTATCAGAAAACCTTTATGTTCTTTCCACCAGAGAAAGAAATAAATTATAAATACACTAGTTCACAATTTTGGCCTTTATTATAAATGATAATAGCTGGCAATGGTAGTGAGATCTTTCCAGTATCTTATGTATACTGCAATGAATAACTCATTTTATTCCTCTATATATTCAACGACAAAAAAAATTTTAAGATTTCCTTCATACACATTAAACCGAATAAAAACGTGTCAGTTACTATAAATTTCAGGTGTTTGTAGGAATCAGTCATAAAACTACCAATAAGAATTTATATAAGCCATAACTAGAAAATCTACCAGTAGATAGGCAGGCAGACAGACAGAAAGACAGACACACACACGCGCACACACACACACACACACACACACACACACACACACACACACACGCACACACCAATTTATTTAATCAGTTATCTATTCTTGAGCATTTGGCTTATTTTCATATCCTTGGCTATTGAGACTAGTGATGTAACTAACATCAGAACACAAATGCCTTTTCAAAGTAGTGGTTTGGGACCCTTGGCCCAAACATCTAACATTTTCTTTAAAAAATATCATCTGATGATTTCCTAAACAAGTTCTACAGATGTGCTGAAGCACTATCTGCTGCTCTAGGAGTTTAATCTTTGATGCTATTCATGATTCACAGTAACTAGCTAATAAGATTTTGGAAGTCTATACATCTTTTCAATTGTCATAAAAATGGAGCCTTATAATAACTATAATGAACATGCAAGAAATAACAGATGCTTTCTGGATGTGTATCTAGAGATCATGGTATCTTATAATAGCAGATTATTATTGGATTCACATTCTGATGACCTTAATACCAGAGCAATATTACTTTAATCACATGTATAAATAATACCAAAAATAGATTTAAAAAAATAATCAAGTTAGCATATCTTATAATTGTTAGGCTTATTCTTTCCTACCTACTACTTCAATGCCCTCCACACCCAACACCGGCTTTCCGTGTAGTGAAAGTTCTTGAGGTTCAATAACACCCACCCAATGGCACATCCCAACTCTTACCAGGCGACTCAGTTCTTCATACCGACTATTGAACATCTCCAGTTTCTCACTGATTATATCATCAAGGATCCCTCCGTCGATCAGAGTTTGGCCTAGTTCTCGAATCTGGGTTCGGTTATCTGCTGGGTGTCGCAAAACAGATTCTAGAGACTGGATGGAAGAATAAAAAAACACAATGCATTTACTGAGGAAAAATATCAAGCAGTCTGAAAGTACATTTCTTTAATAATTTTATTTTCTATTTAAGGAATAAGACCAGAAATTAAGCAAATAATGACTTCTAATAAAATCCACCATGGTATGATAAATACATAAAATTGAAAATTAGGCATGTATAATGAAATGATAATGTAATTCCATAGTAGTGATTTTAATATTTATTAGTTACAAGGACAAATGTTCCTAAAATTATATAAAATTCAGAAGTGAAAAAGAACACTATACAAGCAAAACTATTCCAAAATATCATTAATAATGGGCTGGAGTGATAGCACAGTGGGTAGGGCATTTGCTTTGTGTGTGACCGATCCAGGTTTGATTCCTCCACCCCTCTCAGAGAGCCCGGCAATCTACCGAGAGTATCCCATCCACATGGCAGAACCTGATAAGCTCCCTGTGGCATATTTTATACGCCAAAAACAGTAACAACAAGGATCACAATGAAGACATTACTGATGCCTGCTCAAGCAAATCAATGAACAATGGGAAGACAGTGCAGTGCTACAGATCATTAAAATTAGATACACATTTTTCTACAGCATATACAAACCACAAAGTATTATCTTGTTTATATACTTTAAATATATAAAATATCAAACTAATTGTATCAGTTAAATATTAAATGGTAATAATATTATTACCATTTAATATTATTACTATTTAATGACTGGAAACTGAAGATCAGAAAGGTTAAGTAATTCGGCAATATACACACAGTCAAAAGCAAAATCAAGGTTGTAACTTAGCTCTGAAATCTCTGAATTCAAAGTTTCTGATAGCATACCACCTTCCAATGGGGATCCACTTAAAAAGAAATATATATATATACATATATATATAATGTGTATGTAAGAAGTAAGTAGGAAAAAGGAACACTAACATATTAGTAAATAGGAATAACACTTATAGTAGATTTTAGAGTTTGCCTTAAACTTTTCTCCATTTTCCAAATATAGACTGCACATGCTCTCTTAGGAAGTCAGGCATACTTTAAAGTAATCTTTTACATTTTTTAAAATTTTCTCTATCTCCCACTCTATTTTTCTGGAGAAAGAGCATCTTCCTCCATGAGAGCATCTGGGATCTAGGTACCACATTTGAAGTCTTCCTGATCTTCCTCCAAGTCACCTACTGCCCAGCTTCTTAAGCTGTGGGTTGCAACCCCATACAGGGGGGATATAATTGATTGCATGGCTCACAAAAAATGTAGCAACAATCAAAGATTTATGAACATAAAACACCTGAAAACTAATTCAAAATCAACAGTATAATGAATCTAAGGCATTTACAGCAACACTAGTTCAAGCTGCATTTCTCAGAAGAAAGGGAATCTGAGTGGAAAAGGTATAAGAAGTCCTACTTGAGGGTCAGAGATAGTACATGGGCACTTTCCTCGCTCATATCGGGCCAGAGTCCAATTCCCAACACCCCATACATTTCCCCAAGTACCTCCAGGAGTGATCCTTTAGCTCAGAAGTAAGCCCTGAGCATCCAAAAACAAACTAAAGAAACCTTGACTTCCCAGTCACTGCATTGTCATCCTATATGTGTAAAAGCATGTCTCCCTTCTTATTCTTCAAAGCAAATCTCCTCTCTCTCATTTTAATCCACTAAAAACATTGTTATCATCCGCCACACACTCTGTGCTGGGAACCAAAGAACATGAAGAAGTCAGGCATAGATTTGGCCTCAGGGAGTTTTAAATGAGCCTGACAACAAGCTCCTAAGACAAAACCCCAGGTCCCTAACGCTGCCCAACAATCTGCACTCGCTCCCACCATTCCCAGTGGAAAATGACAGAGCAGGGGTCATTATCAACACAGCCTCCACTGAGGCCAATGAGCAGAACTAACTAAGAAGGAACAAGAGAGCAATTGTCCTAATAATATAAAGCAGGTTTCATCCAGGGACTGGTTAGAAACAGACTGGAAAACCAAGAGAGTGCTTTGTGATGTCTAAAAGGGGCTGGAGCAATAGTACAGCAGGTAGGGCGTTTGTCTTGCATGTGGCCAACCCAGGTTCGATCCCCAGCATCCCATATGATCCCCCAAGTACCGCCAGGAGTAATTTCTGAGTGCAGAGCCAGAAGTAACCCCTGAGCATCACTGGGTGTGGCCAAAAAAAATAAATAAATAAATAAAAATGAAAAAATAAAAGAGATGAATTATCAAAAGCTAATGCCTCATAAAGCTGCCTTGGTGGGTCACCAATAATCTAAAGATACATAATTGTATACATCTTTCAAGCACTAGAGCGAAAACCAAGTTACACTGAAAATTACTGAAGAAGCAAATGTGCTGATTGGTGTGAGGCATCACATGCCTCATTTTAATGCTTTTGTGGTCTCCGTGAAACAAATAAACAAACAAACAAACACATGCCCCCGATCACACAGGCTCCCACCTCTAGAGCTTCGCTGACAGCCTCTGTCTTCTCAGGGAGGGTGTCTGTGCCCTTTGTTCGCTCTTCCAGAGTATTGAGCCAGGTGGTCTCGAGATCCAAATAGTGCAACAGTTCAATCCAACAAGACCAAACCTCCTAGTAGAGACCAAGAGGAAAAGTCCAATTAGACAAGCCATCTCATGCTCTACATCTTGACTGCCTGACATTCACACACCGATCGATTCTATTTTTATTTAGATCTGAGCAAACAGGAGGCTGCTCAGTGGGGATATCCAAACTGATCAAGTCAAAATCTCAAATAAGTGAAACAAAATGGGATTCTTGAATAATTCCTGTGAGATCCACTGATGTAGGCTGGGAGCCAATGAGGAAAGGGCTGTCTCATTTTCCTCACGTGAAAGTAATTCATGTTGAAGTGTCAAAAGTAAAACACTACATAATTAGTAAAGAACCTGAGAGAACCATTCATCTTTTTTAATCCAAGGTAAAAAAGACTCGTAGTTCTTTATAATTCATAATCCTTCTAGAAATTATACAGGAAATTGGAATTGGGGTCCACCTAACTCAGTGTTGTTGTCACTACAACTAACTAGCCCCATGCGCTGTCTTTCCCTCTCCATCTCATGCATGCGAGAGGATCACACTTCACTCCAGACAAAGTTGGGCTATTCTTACTATTCAGCTGCTGTCACTTATCCTCATTCTTATGGAATTTGGGGGAAGGTGACATACAGTCATAGTCTACTTCCAGGAACAGCTCCTGGCCTTCCCCCCAAATGAAGGCACTCTTGGACCTAGTCCAGTGGCTAGGATGCTGGCCTTGCACAGGCCAACCTGGGTTCGATCCCCAGCAAGCCATAGGGTCCCCCAGCACTGCCAGGAGAGATCCTTGAGCCGAAGAGCCAGGAGTAAGCCCTGAGCACTGCTGAATGTAGTCCTAAAAACCAAAGAAATAAATAATTACAAAAAGGAGGAGCCCGTCAAATTGGCTCTTTCTCATCTGATGACTAAGAAGAGAAGAGTCAGCCAGCTGCTCGGTGTGAGGCATGTTTATCAGATCAGATATCTGTCATTTTTTTTTCAGTACAAGTAAATATTTTTGGTGCTAAAGGCAATACGTGGCCTTTGTCACAGATACTTCTCTGGTTATTGTATGCGTTTGTTTTTTTTAACATTCTTTAAGAAAATAGTAACCATTTTTAGTTCAAAGGCCAAACAAAAGTAGGGCAAAAACCAAATTTGACCTTAAAGCTGTAATTTGGTAACTTCTGGATAAGAAAGAAAGAAAGAAAGAAAGAAAGAAAGAAAGAAAGAAAGAAAGAAAGAAAGAGAGAGAGAGAGGGAGGGAGGGAGGGAGGGAGGGAGGGAGGGAGGGAGGGAGGGAGGGAGGGAGGGAAGGAAGGAAGGAAGGAAGGAAGGAAGGAAGGAAGGAAGGAAGGAAGGAAGGAAGGACTCAGGACATCCCCATTCCTACCCCACCACTCATTTCTACAGGCAGAATCCAAAGGAAGAAATTGACAGGGAAAGCTCACATTCAAGAAGAAGAAATGGTCTCTGCACAAGCAACATTCTGGCCCCTGGATTTCAGGATAACCATCAGATTTCAGAGGTGGTGTAACAGTGATGTCACTGATCTCTTGTGCCAACTTCTCTGAACGCCAATATCCTCTGAGGTTTTCTGCATATCTGCCTCACCATTATAAATTAGGCTAATGGGATTTAGATGAATTAGTAATCCCCAAGTCACCAGATTGAGAGGTGCTACAATCAAATATCTGCATGTGAAGAAATCACTCCCCGGGGGCTGGAGCGATAGCACAGCGGGTAGGGCATTTGCCTTGCACGTAGCCAACATGGCCAACCCTGGTTCGAGTCCCAGCATCCCATATGGTCTCCCGAGCACCGCCAGGAGTAATTCCTGGGTGCATGAGCCAGGAGTAACCCCTGAGTATCGCTGGGTGTGACCCAAAAAGCAAAAAAAAAAAAAAAAAAAAAAAAAGAAGAAAAAAAGAAATCACTCCCGGGAGCCAAATTTATATTTGGACCTGATTCCAATCACAGAATCCTGGATTCCCAGCTTGATACTATTCGGGCTGGAACCCCAGACATCCCTGGGAGAGCAAATGCTATTTTGCATGGGGGAGGAGAGAGAACGTAACTAGTGCAGAGCAGAGAGAGAATGACGGGAGTTTACGATGGTCACAAGCTACTACTACCACCATTCACTGGAGAGATTGATTTATTTTTTTTTAATTTTATTGAATCACCATGAGATAGTTACAAGCTTTCATATTTGGGTTACAATCACACAATGCTCAAACACCAATCCCTTCACCAGTGCACATTCCCACCACCAATATCCCCGGTATACCCCCCCTTTTCCACACTCCCCCTACCTCCATGGAAGACAATATTCCCCATACTCTCTCTCTCTCTCTACTTTAGGGCATTGTGGTTTGCAATACAGATACTGAGAGGCTATTGTGTTTGGTCCACTATCTACTTTCATGGAGAGTATCATGCTAAGTGAAATGAGTCAGAAAGAGGGAGACAGACACAGAAGTACTGACTCATTTGTTGAGTATAAAACAACATAACATGAGGCTGACACCTAAGGACAGTAGACACATGGGCCAGGCGGATTGCTCCATAGCTGGTAACCTGTCTCATGAGCAAAGGGGAGAAGGCAGCTGGAACAGAGAAGGGATCACTAAGAGAATGATGGCTGGAGGAACCGGTCGGGATGGGAGATGTATGCTGAAAAAAGAGCTTGATTTCTCTTCTTCCAGAATATGGACTGGTTTTGTGACTGGCACAAGACTGCCATAGAGGAGACACTGGGACACACCGCAGATCTAACCTTCACAAGGACAGGCTGCTTCTCTCTCCCGCTAGGAAAAGGCAGCTGCTATGCTACAGAGATGCTGGGAAGCTGAGCATCCCTGTGCAAAGACCAGCTGGACGGGCTCTGAGTTGAAGGCAATCCCATAAGAGTCCTCCACAGAACTTGTGGAGCAGTGAAGACCCCAGGTGAGTCCACATCAACCCCCAACAGAAAGAGAAATAAAATGTGGTAATTTTTGAAAGCCACTACATGCTGGTGCAGTTTGTTAAGTGAAACAGAAATGTGCAACTGAAAAAAATCACTTTGTGCCACAGACATAATAAAGGGGCTATAGAGGCTTTGGCACTTGCGTGGCAGCAAGCTGACCCAGGCATGATGCCCAGCATCATCTACTATTCCAGAACACTGTCAAGAGTGATCCCTATCAGTTGGGATGGAGAAGGGACCACTAAGTCAATGGTGGTTGGAGGGCTCGCTCCGGATGGGAGATGCATGCTGAAAGTAGACTAAGAACCAAACATGTTGACCTCATAGTATCTGCATTGCAAACCATAATGCTCAAAGTAGAGAGAAATTAAGAAGGAAGGTGCCTGTCACAGAGGTAAGGGGTGGGATGGGGTGGAGGTGGCAGGAGGGATACTGGAAACATTGTTGGTGGAAAATACACACTGGTGGAGGGATGGGTACTGGATCATTGTATGACTGAAACTTTATCACGAAAGTTTGTAACTGTACCTCACCGTGTTTAAAAGCAAAAACAAAAAAGAGTGATGCCTCAGTAAGACCTGAAAACTTCTGGGTGTAGCCCTAAGCCCACAAGATAAAAAAGCACATTAACACAGAACAAAACATCAAAATGTTAACAGTAAGTTTTAAATCATCATGTCATCTGTACTTTAAACCCAACTGGGGTGGGGTTAATGGTAGAGCAAAACAGAAGTGGACCCTGGTTACTCTTTCCTTCAAATCACTAATTTTAAACTTGGATTTAAATTTAAAATAAAAAAAGAAACTTCAATTAGTCTCTGTGATCTCAACCAGGGGAAAAAAAAAAGAAAAATGATGCTCATATGATGTGATTTTTGGATTTTAGAACTGAAACAGATGCTGCAAATCATCTGTGATATAAAAACCATCATTTGACATTTAAAAAAATTAGAGCTGGAGGTTACAAAATGACTTTCCCAAGAACCTTTGACTAACTGGGGGCTGATCTTGGTCTATTTTTTTTCTTTTTTTTCTTTGAAAATCGATCATACAAGAATCACTTTTCCTTGGCACTCAGTATTTGAAAGAAATTAACCTTTTTACCAATATGTGAACACCATCAGTATAGAGCGTTTAGATTTCAGAAATACTGAAACAATCACATACCTCGAGAGTGTGGCACTTTCCTCGGATTCTGTAGCAAAGAAGTTGGTAATTCTCCAGCACAACATTCAGTTCAGAAGTCAATTCCTGGCCACCAGAGGGCGCTTTTGCAGCTAATAACTTGATGTTGTCCTTGAGAATCTTCACTCTCACTTCCTTTTGCAATACATCCTCTTTCGCCCTCTGTTCCAAGATAGGACACATTTGAAGATCATCTCCTCTGTCTTACCAACCAATTTCTTTTATATAGGTAAACAAATCAAAACCCCTACACCATTCTTTCTAGCTTGAAACATTACATAACCACTATGCAGTGCTTTTGAAATAACACTGCTGAATACAAAGTAACATTTATTAAACATCCTAATGTACACAGCCCCACACATTTTATTTTATAACAATGTCTAAACTAAATATCTAAATTGGTCTTACTAAAATTAAGCATATTTCAAAGCCTGGGTCATGACAAAAATCTAACTGAATTCATTTCAAATCACCACTAGAGGTCTGATCATGTTAGACTAAAATAAATATTTACAAAAACTCAAGTGTACCATGAAAGTGGTAGCTTTTTAATCTGTTGGCTTATTTTTCCCTAGAACACAGGTAGACCCTAATAATTAAAATTATTCCAAATAATCGCTCGGGAAGGAGATGTGTGCTGAAAGTAGACAGAGGACCAAACATAATGGCCTCTCAGTATCTGTATTGCAAACCATAATGCCCCAAAGTAGAAAGAGATTAAAAAGGAAAGTGCCTGACATAGAGCAAAGGGAGTGGGGGTGGCAGGAGGGAAACTGGGGACAATGATGTTGGGACATGTACACTGGAGGAGAGATAGGTGTTCGATTATTGTATGACTGAAACTAAATCATGAAAGCTTTGTAACTGTACCTCAAGGTGATTCAATTAAAAAAGTGAATAAGTAAATAAAAAGTATTACAGACATGAAGGTATCATACTGGGGAAGATTTGATCTAGAAATAATTTTTCATGACTCTATATTTAAGATATAGCTTCAATATTCAAGAAAATCAACCTTAAACAGCACTTTGTTTTCCATTTTAGTTTTTTTTTTATTGTTGTCTTGATTTAGACTTCCTTTAGTTCAGGGAAAATTAAGTATAGTTTTTTTCTAATTCTAAGGATTGTTTAGAAGAATAAAAATAAATAGAATGCTACCAAATCGAGAGTTTTAAGCTCGTTTTTCTAAAATCTCATTCATACCGTGGCTTTACAAAATCACAGAACTACAATGCCAACAGTACAGAGAATAAATGTAATAAAATAGTTCGAAACAGAGTAGGCTACCTTTAAAATATCATACAAAGTGAATAATTTTAAATCTTTCCCAAGAAGCTTAACATCAGTGAGTTTTCAGTATAAATACTGCACTAGCTTAAAAGTTCCTCTTCATATTTATTTTGACTTGTATACAACAATGCGTTGATGAAACAGAATCCATTTCTGGTATCTGCACAAAGACTTGCTTTAGTTTTACTTCTAGGAAAGTTGACTTTGAGTAAAGCATTCAATGTGTTGCTTCATATTATAAAACAAAACACCCTTTAAGGCACTATCTCCTCCTGCTTGAGCAATGAAGGACACTTGAAACAGTGTTGGAAAGATGGGAATACTGCCCAGTTCTTTCATTACATAAAAGGAGGGTGTTAAAGACTATTGACACTGGATTCTAAGTTTACAGGAAATATATCCCGTGGTTCCCATTGATATCAAATACTATGGGTTTTCTTACTGCTCACACAAAATTCTGGTACACATGTGTGCCTGTGTGTTAACTGGAAGACTTACACCTGAAAAAATAAGAATAAATGCCAATTGAATTGGAAAACCTCTCTTTGCTCCTTATTTAAAAAAAAGTCTTCATAAATTTTGGAAATGTCAGAGTTGTGATGGTTTAGCCTCACTGTGATTGTCCCTGAAGCTGGTGAATTTCTGCAGCATTTTCTCTGACTCCTCAGGGTTTAAACGGAAGAGACTTTCTAAGGCAGTCTTTAAGATTTTCTAAGGGGCTGGAGTGCTAGCACAGCGGGTAGGGCATTTGCCTTGCAAGTGGCCGACCTGACAGACCCAGTTTCCATTCCTCTGCCCCTCACAGAGAGCCCGGGAAGCTACCGAGAGTATCTCTCCTGCACGGCAAAGCCTGGCAAGCTACCCGTGACGTATTCGATATGCCAAACACAGTAACAACAAGTGTCACAATGGAGACGTTACTGGGTCCACTCAAGCAAATCGATGAACAATGGGAGGACAGTGACAGTGACAGTGAAGGTTCTCGAAGAATTCAGTTCATGGAGGAAGTTAAACAGAAAAGTCACAACTTCTTTTCCTACCAACATCCTGTCAGCGGCTCCCTCTCCTTTTCCTCTGACACCCTGCTGTAGAGCATTATTTGAACATATATATCATCATGCCTTTTCATTGGCGGGTGAGGTCCTGGCTTCCTGATTACTACTAATCGCTTCTAAGGGAGGAAGAGTGACGCCAAGGATGCTGGCTCGTCTCACCTTCATCTCCTCCACAGCATTCTCAAGTTCTTCCGGAGACTTGTATTCAAAATCCCTCTCCAGGTACTCCTCTTCAGCCTGGCTCATCCATTCCTGCATTTCTGCCAAGTCTTTCTTCAAGTTCGATGTCTTTTCCTGACTTTCAGACAACCTACTTTTTTGAATAGCCACCTAGAAAAGAAAAGCCAGTCACCCAAATATCCACGTTAATACATTAAATAAATTCAATACATTAAATTCTCATTTCAAATATCTAAAGACATCAACAAATTTCCATGAAGATTGTGATGTTCTTGGGCATTTTGGTGGTAGTACGTACGGTATAGTAACTTTGCACATCAGTAGCATAAACATCAAGACTATTGCAATTATGTTACCCAAACTACAATAAAAAAAACCATTAAAGACTAAGGATGCTGAGGCCAGAGGGGATAGTACAGCAGGCAGGGCACTTGCCTTGTATGCGGATGACCAGAGTTCGAACCCTGGCATCCCTTATATTCCCCACATTTCTTCCAGTAGTAATTTTTGAATGCAGAGTCAGGAGTAAGTCCTGAGCATTGCAGGGTATACTCTCCCTCACCACCACCCCCCCCCAAAAATTAAGAATGCTAAGAGTGGGGATTGGAGAATGCTGGAATAAAAGTGGAAGGGTATTGACACTCTGGTGGCTGGCATGGTACAGCAACACTGCAAGTATAAAATCTATAATATCAGTACTATGTTAAAAATTAAAATAAAATTTAATTTCAAGATTGTGATGTTCTAGTATTCATATAAAATCCCTTTTAGATCTGTAGTAATATCATAAAATATAATGAATAAATTTTATTAGTATGCATCTATATGAAATTTTGAATATTGGCCTAATCTGGAATTACCTATTAAAAATGTATAACTTTTGAACAGAGCATCTCAAATATACAACAAAATAAAATGTATCTTAAAGAAACTTATTACAGCAAAGTTTATCATGGAAAAAAAACCCATAAAGCAACCAAAGGGTCCATTTTCCATTATGAGAAGATACTCATTTAAACTTTACTTTTAAAAGACAGAGAGAAAGAGATTAACATAAAGCATGTTCATAAAATATTGCTCCTCAAAATTTTGATTTTGGAATGTAGCTATATATTTCAAACAGATGTAAAAATGTTGTATTAGAAAATTTGGAATTTGTTTGAACTTGATTCAATGATAAAACTAGGGTGAAAAATAGGCATAAAATAGTTATGATACATATGTATTTAAATTCTGCAAGCCCTCTGTCATGTCTCTACAATGGCCCTTAATAAATACATATATATACATGTAAATGGACGTCAGTTACTGAGCTTCAAGAATGACCTAGCCACATTTTCCCCTGACACTAATAAACTACTTATAAAACCCACTATATGCTTTACTGCCAAAAATCTTATTAGCACTTTTGAAAATTAAAAGGAATCGGGTGTGGCTGGATGAAAATTTGAATATTTGGACACGAAATATCTTAAATAAAGATGAGTGAAGTCCTTGAAATTAAGACATTCTTTTCTTGCCTTTTATGTAACTCTAAAACTTTAAACACAATAAGAATATAAAAAGAATGGCAATAGTATGGTTAGTATATTTCAAGTACAGAAACAATTCCTCTCATCTCCAGTAATTTAATTTTCTTACAAGAAAGCCAAGAAAGATAAATAAAAGACAAAAAAAATTCCACCTCAACTCAATCTTAGGTAAAATGATGGCCTCTGACGAAGTGAACCAAACATGAACAATCTCTCTCCTCAGGGCTGGGAGACGGATGAGGGCACAATTATCAGGGACTAATCACTCAGTTCTACCTCCTCCACATGGAATACCACGTTAGAGAATCGCCACTCACCATCATCTGTTTTCACTGCCACTTAGGATGGCTGAACAGATGTGCTAGATATTGTATTTGTGGCTGGTGAACAAAACAATCCTTTCAAGGCGATTGTTCCTTCTGTTTGGGTTTGTTTGTTTGCTTTTACTTAAACTTACATAGAGAGATGTGAGGCGAGGGAGAGAAAAAAAAATTTGTGTTCAAAAGCAATCACAGACTTCAGAGTGGAAACAGGCACGCAAAGAAACAGAGAGAGAAGCAAGCAAGATACACAGGCTTGAAGAATGGCAAAAAAACAAAAACAAACAAACAAACAAAACCTTAGGCTTCTGCTTCTGAATTGTCATTAAATGTCAAAAAAATAAAAAGATTTGTCTAAATCCCGTTCAATATATATTGGTTTGGGGGCCACCCTGGGCTGTGCTCAGGGCTTACTCCAGGCTCTGCACACTTGGATCACTGCTGATGGTCTTGGGGGACCATATGAGGTGCCAGGAATGGAACCAAGTCAACCCTGTGCAAGATAAGTATTATGGTTCTGGTCCTATTATAGATCATAATCCCAAAGCTCTTTTCTGAGCCATCTTCCCTCTTGCCACTGAGTGTTGTAGGAGCTTATACCAACTCACTGAGATGGTTGAAGTCATTTCACTAACCAACTTCCACACTAACTCAGTCTTCTTACGGGCGATCCCCTGGTTGGGCTGGTTGGACTATGAAGGTGATCTTGACAGCAGACCCGACAGGGAACGGGATGGGTCTCACGACAGTATGAAAGAAGAGTCGGTGACAAGAATGAAATCACGAGAACAGATGAGGACCAAAAATATACTGTAGGGGCTTCCTGATAGCAGTGTTCACAGTCCTGTTTCTCAACACTGACTGATGAACAGTTTCACCTGAGCTTTTAAAAATTATATGAGGGCTAAAAACATTGCTTGAATGACAGAGAGGGAAGGGATAGATGTTCTGTACAGAGAGATACGTGTGAGGTCCTAGACTTGAACCCTCACTCCAGTGGGTATGGGTCTGGTAGCCCAAACAACTAGTACACCCTACAAAATACAATAATAATTAGAATATATATTATTCCTGGACCCGACTTCCAGAAACACAACTGCTCCTTACCTACCATCCATTTCTGGACACTAATCAATTTTGACATTTTCATGGGTCCATAGAAAAATAAAAGAAATAACAATTTTTTAAACTCAAAATTATAATTATCTCTATACTCTATACTTTCTAATTGGAACCTTAAAATGTTTTTCCTTTCATGATATTTTCAGTATAGTAGATAAAAAAGACTATTTTGGTTCATTAATTAGTTTTATATGTCTGATTTTTCTTAGAACAGTTATTATTTGGCAGTATTTAGCTTGTCAATTACACTGACCTTTAATTACCCAGAGAAACAAACAGCATAGAATTGCTTTAGATGAATACATAACATATGGTTGCCTCCTTGCTGAGGAACATTAAGATTTCCCATACTTTTATTCTCAAGCATTAAATACTTAATAATTCAAAATTTAGGGGACCTTGGAACATTGATGGAAAGATGCTGGCAGTGATACTGGGTGTGGTGGTGTGCCTGAAACTATTAACTACAGCATTAGTTATGGTTACCTAAATGAAAATGAAAAATATTCACAATTAATCCGACATAGTTCTGTGCACATGAGTGTGTATTGTAGGTCACAGATAGCTAGATCCAAATATCTATGTAGACATGTGTACCAATAGCTACCTTTTTTTCTCTCCTTTTGTTACTCCTCACTGCTGATTTTAAACCTTTTCCTTATTTATTTCCCAAGAGTCCTGTAAGCTCCTTTGAGTAAAAGCGACTTAGATAATTACACACTTGAAAAAAAAATCCTAATTTGGCAGGAATGGTGCATAGCATTATAAAATTACTTTCTTACTTGTGATAGTGATTTACACTTTTGCAAAAAACTGTGGATATTCATGGAAGAAGCATGCTAAAGATTTAGCACTAAAATGAGTATTAAAAAAAAGCCTGTCAAAGATACTATTTTAACATACATAAAGGGAAATGTGTATATATGTATGTGAAGAGAACGAAGAAGAAATAAGACAAATCTGATAAAACATTAACTGTTACCAAGCTGAAGAGTTTGCTATATTGTTGGCCCTTGTACCATTATTTCAACTCTTTTCTGAGTTTAAACATTCAAATTAAGGCATGTAAACCAAAGAAAATATTTAGAGATATAAATATAAATGCTTCCTGTATAACAATTTACCAAAAAAAGTTGCATTAAGAGGTAAGTAGTATCTATGGAACTGTTTGCATATTTCTCTATTTCGTAACTTCCCTTCTCATTTTTTTTAATCCTTTCCCACTTGCTACAGCATTACTCAACTTCACTACTGTTTCTCTATCAAAACAGAAGCAATCAGAAGCTAACTAAATCACATGCCTACTCTTCCTTATGGAGAAACTCATTCCTTCAAAATCTCCATTGTGACTTCCTCCCTCACCACTACAAGAAAATCACTTTTCACCAGATCTTTACAAGTCTCTTTTTCCTCAGATCTTAACACTTATTTTTCAGTTCCTTTAGTTCTAATTGGGCTAAGCAATCTTTAGCATTTGGGCACCATGGAAAGCTTAGGTGGGCATTTGCTTTGCATACTGCCCACCCGGTTTCAATCCCAACATACCAGAGCACTGCTAGGAGTAATTCCTGAGAGCAGAGTCATGAGTAACCCCTGAGCATGGCTGGGTGTTGCCCAACAGTAATAGTAATAATAAAAATAATCTCAAACTTTACATTTCTAAAATGGAAATCATTTCCCCTGTGCCCAAAAAAGTTCCTCCTCCTTGATTCTTCATTTCAAAAAAAGATATCACAAGTCACACAAAGCAGAAATTTTGAAAACCTTGTTTTAAAGTTGTCTTAAATATTCACCTTTATCCTATCCAATACATTAATAGACTCCTGTTTTCAAAAGTCAGTCGAAACCTAGCAGTGCTCAATGTCACTACTATCTCTCTAGTCCAACAGGACAATCTCTCTCTCCCAAAATGCAAAAATCTTTTAGATAAGTTGTCTGTCTCCATTTTTTGTCTTATCTAGCAAGAATTATCCACATAGAAGTTCATGTAATCTTAAAATATCAACACAGATTCAATTCTCTATGCAAAACCCTTTATTTCCAGTGTGAATAAATGAGCTAAAACCAAAAGTCATTTGAAAAGTCATATACAATTCAACCCAACCTGTTTTCTCATCTCAAATCTTTCCACCCACTCTCCAACAGGCTAATTCCTTTTTGTTCCAGTCTATTTCTGCTTCACTGCCTTTTTCATTGTTTATTGAACATAAGAAGCCATACTGGACAATTAATACCACACCTGAACTTAAAAAATGATGCAGGAGCCAAGTACATACTCAATGCATCCCCAAGAGTTCTCACCAGCTGTGGCCCAAAGAGTCCCCACTACGATCAATCAGGCTCCAATGTCGCACAGCTAGACCTGTGTACTGAATCGGCAGAGCCACCATTGGGGTCAAATATAACAGGCTCTTATTTTTACAAGTGACCAATTTCTTGGCCTAGCCTCTGAAATCATGAACCACCAGGGACAATCTACCTAAGCCAGACAAACTGATTGAGATAAAAAGCCATAGCTCTCTTACACTCTGTTTTGCAGGAACTGCTTTACAGAAGCGCTAAACACGTTACTACTGTTTTGCAGGAAATAACAAGCATAAACACATTTAAATTCTTAAAAAAAACCCAACCAAAAAAATTCTTAAAAAAAAATTAAACAATAGCATCCAACAAGGGCAAATTCCTCTCTGTATAAGGAGGAAATTCATAAACATACAAACAAGAAAAGCTAACACCCTCCAGAAAAATCAAAAGAATTTCTGACTCCAATCCCCATTCTTTTTATCTAAAGAATCAATCGTGTCCTATTTTTCAAGTAACAGACAAGAGACCTCAGCCCCTCCTTCTCGTAAACATATTCTCCCATGCAAAGGGAGAAGCAATAGATTTAAATGTTGCTCCTATCTCCCTTGCACTCTGGACTACAACAAAACCTTTCCCTTCTTTCAAAAATCCGTGTGACAGGGGGCTGGAGCAATAGCACAGCAGGTAGGGCGTTTGACTTGCACGAAGCCGACCCGGGTTCGATTCCCAGCAACCCATATGGTCCCCTGAGCACCGCCAGGGGTAATTGCTGAATGCAGAGCAAGGAGTAACCCCGCCAGGTGTGACCCAAAAATAAAAAACAAACAAACAAACAAAAATCAGTGTGACAGTATTTGGCATTCTGGTAGAATGAGGAGCAAACTGAAGTTTGGCTTTGCATGCAACCCACACTGTTATTATTTTAGATAACTTCTTTTCAAACTAAATGGACCATAAAATCAATTTAATAGGTCAAGAGAAATGACTCTCTACCTTTTGATGACCACAGAAAGTGAAGACGAAAAACTCACCTCCCTGCTAAATCTCTCCAGCTGGGTTTGGTAGTCTGCTAGCTTTTCTTGCATCCATGTTCTCACTCCAGAAATAGGACAGCTTCGAAGTCCTGCTTCAATTTCCTTCATGTCTTTCAGAGATGACTCAACTGCTTCTATTTCATCAACAAATGCCTGGACATATAAAATAAATCCATGATGAATTCATTCCTACGTTAACACTCACACATACCATGATTACAGTTCGCTTGAACCTCCACATACATTACTGAGAACAGATTCCATAGAAGTCAGGACTTTTAACTACTTAAGAAATATGTTGCCTTCAGAAATTCATTTCACCTAGGTGCTTCATGGAGCCATCTGCCAAATTAGATTCAAAATACTTGACTCTCGGTAGGGAATAACACTTTAATTACTTTTAAGAAGCCTAATGATTTCACCAAATAGAAATTGCATTCCGTCTTACTGGCAAATTTCATTTGTTAAACATGTTTTTCTTAAAGCCTCACTGTGTGGCACGTTAAGAGCAATATACAATTGGTAATTATGACACAAAGATTGTCATCGTGGTAGAAAATAGCAGCTCCTAATCAACTAAAATTGTTCTTGTTCTCTCTATCCAAAATCCTACAGCCATGGTGGAAAATTAAAATATAAATACTGCAATCAGTCATTCTTTTATTAACTCTGAAGTCAAAAAAGGCTTGTGATAAAAGATATTTTATCTAGGTTTATTATCATGCCATCGTCTAACAATTTTAATAACGGCAGCAAATAATAAAGAAGAAGAAAATGTTCTTTATGACAGCAAGTTCTCGAGGTCAGCAAACTCACAGAGCACTGGTCAAGCTGTCTTTGCAGCCCTTCATCGTCCCCATGGACAGCCGGCTCTTTCATTACATCCTTCACACCATCCATCCACTTCTCAATGACTTTCGAATCAGCCTAAATCGAACACAATAACAAAGGGGGATATTACTCAGTGACATTCAACCTACTCTATCTCAAGATCTATTGCTACTGGGGGAAGAAAGCGAAAGCAACTTTCCAAAATGTTGTTATCATCATTTTCATTTATTTCTTTTTAAAACATATTCCACATGTGAGAATGGTGACTTTCTTCATTCTTGACTAAAATCCTTCAGAGACAGCAGCTTGGGGATCATTTCAAATATTTTAAAACATTCTCCAATGAACCTAGATATGCTGCTTAAGTGTGAGCGATGATATGATTTAAAAATCAAATTATACAGTTCTAGGTAGAACTGAAAAATATTTTGTTTTCAAGTAATTTAGAATGAAATCTCTCTCAGTTACTCAAATCAAGAATAAATTGAATGGTTGGCAGGATATTTTTTTCCTTAGGTCTACTCTACTCTGAGATGCCTTATTATATGACAACCCAGGACAGCTCACTGTTCAGCAACTTAAACTTTGTGCCCCATTGTGATCCAGTTACTGTGAATGGTCCTGGAAATATAAAGAAATCAGAAAGGAAAAATTCTGCAAAGATAAAAAAAAGACTTCAGAGGGGCTGAAGTGATAACATAGTGGGTAGGGCATTTGCCTTGCATGTGGCTGATCCAGGTTCCATTCCCAGCATCCCATATGGTCCCCCAAGCACTGCCAAGAGTAATTAATTCCTAAGTGAATGAGCCAGGAGTAACCCCTGTGCATTGCTGGGTGTGACCCCCCCAAAGATTTCAAAGATTTTAAAGAAGAAATGACAAAGGAACTAGGTATTAAAGAATGCAAAGAAGTAATTCAAACTCAAGCTCAAATGCAAAAGTGAAGTGATGGTCATTTCTTTCCTTTGCCTCCCATTCCATTATTAATATATCCAGCTTATCGGGACTGAATTCTACCCTCTTCTATTTGCCTCTCATTCATTGTTAGTAATAAATTTCCTATTCAGCTCAAAATGCTTCCATATTTGAATGCAACCTCTATGTCTTCCCTTCATCTTCTACTGGTTAAACATTGCCACTTCAATATAAAAAAAGAACAAGAAAAGTAAGAGATACAGAAAATCCACATAGACCAACTGATCACACCAAGAGTAACCAAAGGAATAGAGAAAAATTGGAAAATCTATATTCATTACTAAAAATCCACTTATGCAGTCCTGACATAGCCATTGTGCCCTCTATGAGAAAGACTGTGATTTGTCATTGAAGTTCAGCACCATACCAGCCATAAGACCTTGAGAAACCACTTTTTCCTCATTGAGACCCAGTACTTCCTCTACCAAATATCCCTTATAATCACATTGATCAGTTGCTCTGAAAACCCAGGGATAATGAACGGGATCTGGTACAGAAAAAAAAATACATAATAACTGTAGTTCCTAAGAGCAACAAACCCAAGAGCTTTGTAGCCTACGTTAACCCTCTAAAGAACCATCACTTCCAAGTTCTGGTGTTCATTCTTTCTAATTGAAGAGTGAGGGTGAATTCAGGTTTGCATCAGTGTCTCTGATCTAAATGCTGCCAACATGCATCTTGCTCTATAAAGGATTGTTTAAAAGTCTTTGTTTTCAAAAATCTTTGGAAGATCTACTGTTTCTGGTATATCTAACTTGACCTGGCCAAACAGTTCAGCAGAAAGAAGCGACACAAGTGCAAGGAGACCCACGCTTGAGAAACACTGAGCAATGGAATAGGGGAATACTAGGGGAATACTCAGTCTCTTGCACGCCATAGGAAAAGCGGTGTTAGATCACACAAACAGGTTTATATCAATAACAACTTGCATGCTATGACATGAGAAATCAGGAGCTTGATTCCATCCTTTGATATTTACTCTTTCACTGGGGGAAAAAATACCTCCTCAATCTATTTCTTGCAGATGTTTCCTGTACATTTTAAAAATAACCAAAATATCTTATCTTTAAGCTAAGTGTGCAGGAAAAAGATTACAGAGAGCTAGAAAGAAAAGTTTGTCTGAGCACTTCAGGAAACAGTCAATGTATGTATCCAAAATTTCTAATGGACAATAATGAGCAATTTTTTTTCTATCTACCTCTGACTGCAAATGAATGTCTGATTATATTCTGACTGGGTAATTTCTAATTTTCAGAGTCTTCCTGGAGGGGATTCTGATTCTTTAAAATGATACTAATTTAAAAAATGATAATATTAAAAATTTTTAATACTCATGAGTTTCTAAAACAAAGGTCTATTACTATTTCAGATGTAATAATAATCATAAATCATAAATTTTATTCTAGAGCTGCCATCTCTTACTCCTACTTCTGCTTAAAGTTTCAGTTATTTATTACAGGAGAAAGAAAATTCTACATTGACTAAGTGTTCAATAGCAACGATTTGTAAGCATTTGGGATAGGCAACACTCAGCCAATGGGTCATGAAAACAGAAAGTGAGGTCACTAAAATAAGTCGTATAACTTTATACATCCATCCTCAGCCCAGCCCCTCAGCTGGGACACAGGTAATGAGAAGTTTAGTGACTCTGTATTTAAACTCAGTAAGATTCCAACTTTTATACAACTACCTCCAAGACTGTGTTTACAGCTAAATTCTTGGCATTTTTATTTCACTCCTCCCCCATCGGTTGGAATGCCCACAGTTTTAAAGCAGCAATTTCTATCCTAAGACATAGGCAGGAAGAATTTTGGAACCCAAATTAAGACAGAAATGTAAGGCACTAAAGTTTTCTATTGTCGTTAGTTCTGTAACACTCACTAACCTGAAAAAGAATTGTTTGAAAGGGCACTTACTAAGAAAGACCAATAGCAACCTTGGTACTACATTTCTTTGATCTATAACACTTTCTTTCACTATTGTGGGAATCACAGCCAGTGGAACTAGAGGGCCTCCAGGTCCACACCCCACCCACCATGATGGGGGAGAGGAGTGGGATAATATAGAGGATTGAATCCAGAGCCTCGAATTGTACCCCCAAACCTTCAATTCTTTTTCATTTCTTAATTTTACTTGGGCTGGAGCAATAGCACAGCAGGTAGGGCATTTGCTTTGTACGCAGCCGACCCGGGTTTGATTCCTCCGTCCCTCTCGGAGAACCCGGCAAGCTACCAAGAGTATCCTGCCCGCACGGCAGAGCCTGGCAAGCTCCCTGTGGTGTATTCAATATGCCAAAAAACAGTAACAACAAGTATCACAATGGAGACGTTACTGGTGCCCGCTCGAGCAAATCGATGAACAATGGGAGCACAGTGCTACAGTGCTAATTTTACTTAAGCCTTCCAATATAGCAGTGTTGGGAAAGACAATTAAGGAGAGGCTGCTAAAATCTCAGGGTTGAGATGAATAGGGACATTACTGGCATCTGCTCGAGTAAATCGATAAACAATGAAATGACAGTGATGACAGTGATGAATTTTACTTCTTTCTTCGTTTTTTCAGCCGTAATATTATTTTCCGGCAAGCTACCGAGAGTATTCGATATGCCAGACACAGTAACAACAAAGTCTCCAATGGAGACGTTACTGGGCCCGCTCGAGCAAATCGATGATCAATGGGAGGGCCTTTACTTATTATTATTTTAGTGATTGGGCATGTTCAGGATAGGGCATTTGCCTTGCACGCGGCCTACCTGGCCAACCTGAATTCCATTCCTCTGCCCCTCTCGGAGAGCCCGGCAAGCTACCAGGAGTATCTCGCCCGCATGGCAAAGCCTGGCAAGCTACCCGTGATGTATTCAATATGCCAAACACAGTAACAAGTCTCACAATGGAGACATTACTGGGCCCGCTTGGGCAAATCGATGAACAACGGGAGGACAGTGCTACAATGCTAAATTATTTTAGAGCATTACAGAGCTGTTCATGATTGGATTTCAGTCATACACTGTTCCACCACTCATCCCTCCACCAGAGTACATTTCCCAGCACCAGTGTCCCCAGGCTCCCTCCTATCACTCCCCACTTCCCATCCCCTGCCTGCCTCTTTAGCAGGTGCTCTTCTTCTCTCTCTCTTGCTTTCTCTCCTCTTAGCCCTTAATTCTTAAAATTAAGACTTTAAAAATATCTTATGCCTCTTTTAATAAAAAAAAATATTCAATGGAAAAAAAACTCCTGCTATAATTATATCATTTATCTTATTGTTAATTTTATCATTCTGCCTCATCACTCTTAGGTAGCATGTATCATTACATTTTGCCCTAAAATGCTACCTAACATCCCTTTAACACCTGGTCCAGTATGTCTCTGAGCTCAAGGTATATCTGTTCAATTCATGCTTCTAACCCATCAGCAGTGAAAGGAAGGAAGGAAGGTGATTTTACACAAAGGAGCCCATCAGTCAGCCTTGTAACGGGTCCGAAGGATGAGCTATCCGAAGGCACTTCAAAGCAATGACATTCATGCCTACTTACTTGTTGAAGGCTAAACATGGCTCCAGTGCCCAAGAACTTATGCCCTGATGGATTCTGACCAAACTGAAAAATGGTCAAAGAGCCTGGGTGATAGTTCAACCCAGGGGCTGAGAGCAGGGTTTGCATGCAGAAGGTTCAGGTTGAGTCCTGAGCACTGTATGATTCCCTTAGCACTTCCTGAGCACAGAGCCAGGAGTAGCTCCTTTGGGGCATGTCCTCCCATCCCACACACACACACACACACACACACACACACACACACACAAAACTCATTTCATTCAGTTAAAAGTGGTCGAAGATGGGGTTATTGTGAAGCATGAACAAGAATGACAGAATCGCAGAGAAGGGAACAGTATCTGCTCATGTGTATGGGGATAAGCAAACCTGGAGACTGGGTGGAGAAAAGGGTTTTTATTCTTCCAAATTTAAAAAGTTAAAAAGGAATTTACTCTTGTAGGATGCATAAAGAAGAGGAGGCTGTGAAACCCAAACAAGTAAAGTGAACATTCTGGAAAGGCGGCCCCTGGGGTGATCTTTGGAAACAATCACACCCTACCAGACTCAGGTCACAGGAGGGAACGCAGGTGCTG